TGCTACTTGGCCCTTGACACTATGGAATGTGGCAACAGTGTGAAAGGGAAGAACGACATGGGCAGCTTCTCGTTCAAGTTGCGCTGGCGAAAGATTGGGTTGATTGATGCGAACGGCATAACGGGCTAATGCTTCGGTGAAAAAGTGGCACCATAATCACCAACGATGCAATCCAATGGAACCCGTTTTATGGTTGGGTTTTTGGTCGTCTCGATTGAGCGATGATAGCTGTGTAGCACGGAAACTTAGCGAGCCACTTAGTGTCCTTCGTGCTTTGTCATAGCGTAGTGCTCTCTCACCACTTCTTGCCTTGCTCGCGACACGCAGGCAAACGGTCGCGGCTACACCGCCCCAGTGTCTCCTTGACAGGAGAAGGGGACATCATGGATGCTAAATGTCTGGATGACTCCAGAATATTGTCACCGGAATGTGACACGGCACGGCACATGACGTTGTGGAGAAGTTCAAAGAAAAGTTGGATGTTAGGCAAATCATTAAGATCATTCCAGAACACCAAACATACCATCACACAACACTGGCAACTTATCACGATGCTAAATACAGACAAATACAAACCATAAACGGTTGATTGCTATCACCTACGCTCTATTTGTGACAGTAAACTGACCCAGTTCCAGGACCTAGAATTCCTGGACCTGTCTTAGGGTACAGGTATGTTGATTTTTTTCCATCTCGCGATCGATACCGGCCCGCCCGTTCATTTAGGTTTATATGGATACGACATCTCACGCTCGGCCTTGGCTTTTGTATTGAGGGGCTCTTAACATTATGACCCTCGGCTTGTTCTTCACTTTCGATCTGTGCCATGGCTGCATCTTCATCTTCCGCTGTGAGTTCTTCGCATGCACTCGTTTCTCTTGTTATAACTGATCAACAGGTAGTCGATGATGATGTGTCTGTCGTCTCCTCTTTTCTCCTCCGGAGGTTGTTTGAGTATTGCGGAGTATCCAGGGCGCGGTTTACCGCTGCTCAACAGTATCCAGCTGGAGTTTTTCTGTCGGTGTCCGCACCCAGTCTTCGTCACTTGATTGACAATTTTCCCATGATGACTCGTGCACATTTCGATGATTTGGCCCATTCCCATTCGTTGTCGGTCAAGGCGTCTGATACACACGACTATATTCGTGATCTGCGTCGTGTCCATATATGTACTACACAAATTGCTTTTCGTCTGTAAGCATTATCTTTAAGCATTTGCTGCATGCGTGTCGCCATTGTGGTGCTGAAGTTCTTCCCGAGCCTTTTGCTCAGTCGAGTCGACAGACGCGTGCTTTTGCGAAGGCCTCGTTTCGCGCCACCTTATCCGACATAGACTGTCTGGCCACTCGAGAACAGAAAGTTGCTGCGCATCATCGTGTTCCTGATGTCGTCGTCGAGGATGATTTGTAGGATGGACAATAAAATGCAGATAATCGCAGGAGAAGATGTCAGCCGTTTACCAAAAACGGGGCGTACGTGCAGTATATTCTGGTGTGCACAGAGGCTTAGACTCACTTTTTCGAATATCAAACATGTTATTTGCTTGTAGTACAAATATGATTCACATTGACTTTTTCCAACTTTGCCCACAACATCAGTGGTACTAGGTAGGATGGTTAGACAAATTGTACGGTTCACAGAAATCTGTTCATGGGTCTGGTGAGGACCTCCTTTCACCATGTCTCAGCACATTTCCTCCAGGTCCTCAGGAACATTACTTTCTGCTTGAAATATCAGTAGATCATGTCTGAATAGATTATATATATGAAATAGTACCTTGTTTGGGGCCAGGGATGCTGTTTAAATGGGGAGATAGAGCTGGGAGATAGAGAGAAAGGGAAGGAGAATGGTTCTGGGGTCAGTAAATCGTTTGAAGATACAGTATAATGATATCAAAGCAAGGGTTTTAGATACATGTATGCTAAATCATTCTATGCATCGCCATTGTGCACTTCCGTGTACCACAGCAAGAGATCCATTCCGTTGCTGTGGTGTCCTGATGCTGGTGCCTTCTTCAACCACGATGTGAATGCACCTAATGTTGCCCAGTTGACCCTGAAGTATGCTCTGCAGCCTCCCTTAGGTCATTGTACCCATGGATCGCCAGAGCCAGTGGCAGGACGATGTCTGGCCATTCGCATAGCTTGTCCCCTGTGCCCTTTGAAAGAGGTACGTTGCAGTTCGTCGCTGCATGTCGGCACGTGGCATATCCAGCAGATGCCCTTGTGGTTGTTGTACCTGATCTCCTTCTTCCATTCGAAATACTTCCCGAGACTCCATCCTGGGGTGTGCCAGAAAGGACATCGGCTCAGCTTGTGGAATTGGCCCTCGGCCTCGCCGCTCGCCTGGCATAGAGTGCATCCTTTGTCCTTCATGGCGTTCAATGCATTTCTCATTCGATCCACTCGCTTCATCTCTTCTGCTTGCTTCGCCGTCTTCAATTTCTTGGACTGAGCAGTGGCCTCTGCAAAGGGATCTGCTCCGCCTGACATGTCATTGAATGACCATTTTGCTGACTGAGACGGTTGGTCTGTGAGTCGGAGAGGCGGGTGGTTTAGGCATACGCGTATGCTGTTGCAGGGGAGGCAAGTTCGTGGAGATGGCGCGTCGATGGATCGAGGATTTCGGACGTGTGTGCACTTGCTGTTGGGGTGGCTGCCTTTGCTTGATCTACCTCCTTGGCTGTGTCGTTCTTGCAGACGCAACATGGCTGGTTTCTCTGGTCGTCTTTGCACATGGTTCCCTCTCCATCTATGTAGAGGGGTGGATCCGTAGCGAAGGCAGCGCTTCAGGCCGTGGGTGTAGACGTAGTCATGTGCGTACCACCGGCCCTTGTGATCTGGCTCCGATCGTCCTATTGGGAGCTTTGGAGGTGATGTGGAGGGAATGATGTAGCATCTGGCGGGACGTCCGTCTCTTCCTGCTCTTCCTTGAGCTTGGATGATCTCAGACATCTCTAGTGGGGTCTTCAGGTGGAACCACGAGTCGGACGTGAGGATAGTCGTTTCCCGTGCTGAAGGCGCTTGTGCATATCATGACTGGAGTCTTGGCCCGCGCGCCAGTCTGTGTAGTACTGCGCTCTGGAGGCGTCGCTCCTGTTCTTCGATCCATTGTAGAATGGCCAGCGAGTCTGTTTGGGGTTGTCTGCGATTAGCATATGCGTATCATAATTCATGGATGACTCGCCCTCTCGGCCAGACTTTCGCCATCGTCCCATGTATGTAACGAAGACCAAGCCTCTGTCATTGGGGGTCCATTGTTTCCTCTCCTGCTCTAACGATTTGAGTGACCTTGGTCTCGAGAGTGTTGGACTGAGCTGGTTGCCTCATGATGTACTTCCAGCTCCGGACGGTTGATGGACTCTCTTATCTCGATGGCCGTGGGCAAGAGACCGAAACATTGTCTTGAGAGCTGGCGATGCTGGACTGAGGCATCGTGGCCGGTCAGCAGTATCAGCTGCATGGAGGAACTGTCTGAGCTCGTGCAGGTCCTGCATGGAGACTCTGAAACTCATCTGACAGCAGAGCCAGATGAGCTTCGTCGAATACCATCCTGCTGACCGGGAGGGATCTCATTGAGCTCTGCCAGATACTGTCTCCATGTCTGAATCTGGCCTTGTCTGTGGAAACGAGGATCAGATTGACGCTGGAGGACAAGGGATGGCTGTGATCGTAGACTTGGAATGGAACCCTCATGGCCTTGAGCTTCTCGTCCAGTCGGTCATCAAGGACTTCAAAGGAAGGACTACGACCACTGCTTTGTCTATGTCCATGATCGCTTGGGAGGATGGCCAGCATGGACTTGCCTCCACCGGTCTTGAGCATGGCTATGATGTCAGTCTCTCGCTTCAGTGTTGCGACCGCCGCCTGCTGTTGCTGTGGAGATGCCCATCGAGCGTTATCATCATGGAGGATGACGCGCAGTGTGATCAGGCTATTGCGCTCAATGATGGAGATTTTGTTCTTTAGAGTAAGCTGATTGGGTGCGGCGGTTGATGTTTCCTCTGTGTCTGATGCTGATTAGCATGCATGCATGTTAAAGTGAATCCTCGGTCACTTACCACTGATGATCTCTGCTCTTAACTTCTGATGGATTGCATCATTTTCTACGAATCTGTGTTAGCATGCGCGTTGTGTTGAGTAAGTGATGGGTCACTTACCACTGATGAACTTGACCTTTCTTGACTTCTGCTGGATTGCATCATCATCGTTGTCTTCGTCTGTGGACTCTGTATTAGTGCACGCGTATGCTGAGATTCCTCAACCCACCCCTTGTCACTTCTGATGCGTTGGATTCATTGCTGGTCATGAGGCTCATGGATGTCTGGTCATCTGCAGTGATTCATTAGTATACACCTATGTTAATTGTGTGATGCTTGCCTGTAAAAGTCCTGTTGCCCCGGCTTTGCTGCAGCTTTAGGTGTCTTGTTCAAATCTTCTGGGTCTCCCAGACTGTTGTCCAGCTCATAGATGTTGTCAAAGTCAAGGTCGTTAGTGGGAGTTGCTGTCCTTATAGCTTCCTTGTAATTCCTTCTAGCACTGGTGTAAGTGCATCTACATTCTGGTCATCAACCTCTCTTCAATGCCAGCCATCACCTCTCTTCAATGCCAGCATCAACCTCTCCTCCAGCTTGCCGACCCATGCGGTCAGCCATTTCATCTGTGTTTATGCTGATATATCTGTCTTGGGTCTAGGAGCATTGGCATCGACAGAGGGTGGTTCTACATGGCTCGCTGGTGGTGATCTCTTCAAAGTCTGAGCCGAACCTTCCAGACTGTGCCAGCTGTTTGAAGTGGTGGGCCCTAGCATTCACATATGCTAGTTGCAGACCACCTGGGACTGTGTGCATCAGAGCTGCCAGTTGTTGCTGGCTTGAAGGAATAGAGGCAGAAGATCCTCTGCCCCACTTGCCAGTGCATCTGGACTGAGACCATATATGCGGTTCTCTGTCGCCCTGCTGTGTCCTGCTTGAAGAGCCTCTATTGTGTCTTCAATCATCCTCTTGCAACAGCTGTTCTGCAAAACGACCAAGCTTGCGTTTGAAGGCGGTGCTGATGTGACGCCATGAGTTGACGCCCAGAGGGAAGCCAATCTTCTCCACACTTTCTCTGGCCATGGTAGCAGACAGATGGTCAGTGGTGAATAGCTTGTTGTCGTTCATGAAGATCTGCGGTCTGATACAAGTCTTTGATTGATGGCTTGTCTGGGTAGCAGATGTAGGCGGCAACTTCAGCAAAGGGCCTGGTCAGGGCGAGGTCCTGGATCATGATGTCAGACGTGACTCCATCTATTGAGTGGGGGATGAGCTTGTCTGTCCCAGTCAGTGCAGTGGCCCTTATGATAGATCCTGAGCATGGTGAGGTTCTTTCCCAGCATGACTAGGTTTGCGCTGGGATCGAGTCTGTGTGTTCTGTTAGCATATGTGTATGCTAATTACAATGTGATGCTTGCCTTTGTGTTTCTGTAGGTCATGGCTGTGAGTTCTGTGCCTCGACCCGGAGCTCCACTGAGCATCTCGGCATCTAGCTAGGACTACCTTTTGAAACTCTGCATAATCTCTCAGCCACATCTGCAGGGCGCCCCTGTTTCCATACCAACTGTCCTTGACGTATGACAGCGAACCGGTCAAAGACCTCTTGATCACGATGATGGCCTTGAGGAAGCGGTCGCGGTCTGCGAAACAGGCATTCCTGCGGTCGGACAAGAAGCAGTAGCCCACGTCATGGTTGCTGGTGTCATCCACGATGTTCTCGTAGCATACCCGTATCTTAATTCCAGCCAATACCTTGTTCTCCCAGACATCCACTAGCTTCATCTCCATGGAAACGAACATCTCTCTCAGATGGTCTATGTGCACCTTGTCGCCTCTGTACAGCATCATCTCCATACATCTTCTGCCCACCCACACTATGCGAGGCATACTTATCGTCTTGTATGCGATGGCAGATGCTCGATGCTGAAGTGATCGTAAGCGGCTGAAAGGGGAGTTGGTCTTCTCTGTGAACCAAGGTTGGAGTGGCATCGCAGGCTGCTTCCGTCGTCGCCATTGTATAGCTCAGCGCTGAGGATCTTGAGTTTGCTTCAAACATGAGAGCCGTATGCATTACTCTAGTCTGGCAAAGTCTGGAGTGACAAGCGCTGGTTCCCTGTGTCGTCCTCTACCTCCAGAGTGTGCAGAGCCATGAATCGCTCTGTTGGACAAGGAATCATGTTGTTCTCCACCTTGGACCCACTGGTCATCCAGGTTCATGGTGAGAACCGCATGTATCTTTTCTGTCGTCTGTTCAATTCTCCACCAAAGCCAGTTCCAGCTTTTGCAGAGTCTCCATGAGTTCATTGTGTGATTGGAATCTCATAGTCGTCGGCGCTCTCCGTCCTTAGCAGCATGGCTAGGAGACCGATAGTGGTGGCGGATGTACGACTTCATCGTTGTATCTTCTTGATGGCGGTGAAGAGGTGAGTTGTTGATTCCTCTGCAGTCCGGTGAATTTAGCATACATGTATGATAAATGAGTGACTCACTCTTTCGTGGATCAGGAGAGTGAGGCGCTGCAGGATCAACTCGTCTGTGGTGTCCAATAAAAACCAAGGCGCTTTTCAAAATACTGATCCACTGCATCCACGAGGTTGGGCATGATGGGATCCTCTGCCTTTGGAATCTTTACCAGCTTCCTTAGCGTTGCGACGTCGTGACCAGCTACATGTTCGTGCCACTTGGTGGTCAATAGCCAAGGGCTGACCATCCGCTTATCTTGAGGCACTTGCTCCACTCTGGTTACCTCTGCCATCTTTCTCTCATCCTATCTATCACTTCCTGGTGATTATAAGACATTGCTTCTACTGCAGCCACCCTCCAAAATCGCTTGTGTACCCCCTTATTGAGCTGCTGCATTTTGCAAGAGTCCATTGCTTGGGAATCGGGATGGACTGATGTTCCGCTCGATAATGGTTACCCATGGTTTCTTTGCAACCACATACATAGGAGCATAAAGTTGCAAACAGATGCCATCTTGCACAAGAAGACCCTTGTAGGGGCTGCAGTATCTGCCTCCAGCTATAGAGGTCGGTAAAGTCCTAGAGATCTTCATGTCAGCTACTGCTTGATTGTACTGTATGCTGTCCACTTTGATTGCGGAATGCTTCTTTTCTATGTGACCAGCATGTGATCAGGAGGCAGAGCGGACTTGACAGATGTGGCAAGCAAAGACACATGAAGGACAGGATCTAGTACAATATTGATGGATCCAAGTATGGGTGGACGAACCAGTCCATCCTTTGATTTCCTTTAATTATCATGCATGTATGATAATCTTGTCACTCACTTGATCATATTGCTGAATAGCTGGAGTTATTGTGTCTCTTGACTGAGACTGGGATGAGTGTCAGTTGATCACCATATGTGTATAATGGTGTCTGCTCTTACTCTTACTCTATTATCTTGCTGGACAGCTTGGAAAGCTGTTTCCCGTGTTTCCTGCAGCAGTTGTATGTTGGTTCATGATCATACATGTCTGATAATTCTCGTGCTTAACCTGATCATCTTGCAGATTCATAAATAACTCTATGTCTAATGCTTCATCCATATCAAGTGGCAGGTCCTTGTTCAGATAAATCAGTATACATATACACTAGCTAGCTTCTCATATACATACACCAGGCTCTTCTGTATTAGTATCATTCTTCTTATTTACTTGATGCAATGCAGAGGACTTTGTCGGTTGCTAATGGTGGTAAATTGGTGTATATGTATTATGAAATAAGCCACCTACCAGAGAAGACTGAGTGACTGATTGATCGATTGCCTGTGATGGTTGGTCAGAAATTAGTATACATGTATGTTGATACATGAGCTTACCTGAAGCTTCTCCATATCAACGTCAATCTCTTCAGTTCTTTGATGAGCAGTTGACTGAGGATTGCCCATAATGATCAGTGAGAAATTAGTACTAGTATACATGTATGCTAATTACCGTGTCAAATCCAATGAGACCTTACATTTCTCATATGCCTCTTCATACTCTCTATGGTTTTATAGGATCTCTTCCCATCTACACATCCATCATGAGAACACCAGCAGTCAAAAGTACCCTGGACATTTTTCTGACAGTGATAGTCAGATTTTTGAACTTGAAAGTCTCAATATCTTTCAAGCACTGCTTTTTATGCTTGCTGTACTCATTGTGAGCCTCGAATTCAGTAGAGCAGTTGGAGCAAATATAAGTCATGCTGAGTGATGGTTGTAGTGGTAGTGGGTAGTTGGTGCTGGATGATAAGTGAGGGTAGGGAAAACTTGTGATGATTATTGTTTGATAATTCATCATCTCAGATTCAAGTTCAGCTGAACATCACCCGCATATGGAAAGACTTGCCTCATTAAGAGAGTATCAGTGTCTTGAGTCTATTATTACACTGCGTTCTGTGATTTGCGTCTTCATCCTATCAAGGAAAATATAATTGTTTGAGTCTACAAGTCCATTGTTGATGTGCCATGCAATGATGCAGGTCACTCTCACCCCCTCGCCGTTTGACTTGATTGAAGATGAAAACAGAGTAGTCAACATCACAGTGTAGGAACCCGAGATGTGAAAGCAAGTTCATACCAGTCATATGCAGCCTGTTTGAGACCATAAAGGGAGGAGAGTATATGGGCCACCAAATGAAGGCCATCGGGACCGGTACACTCAAAGCCCGGCAGTTGGCACATGTAGACGTCCTCCTGAAGTTTTTTCCCATAGGAAGATGCACTTTACATCAAAGCAATCTAGCTCCCAGTCATTGGCTGCTGCACACACTGAAAGGACACAAATTGAGGTGGATTTGGGTATGGAGGTAAGGTGTGTCCAAAGTGACTCCTGGAATCTGAGAAAACCCCTGGGCCACCAATCTCACCTTGAATACAGGTCCTCCCTTCAGGTCCTCCTTGAACTCCAGTACCCAACAGCATCCAATGACACAACAATCAGCAGGCAGGAGTACAAGCTCATACACCTGCATTTCAGACATCAGGTTCATTTCCTTATGCATTGCCGCCAGCCAGTAGTCTTTGTCCTGGACAATGTGTTGCCTCATCATACATTGCAGAAGGCACCTTGAGGTTATACCCAGGCATGTAGGATTATGATGTGTGTAACTACACACTGATAGACAAGCAACCTCAGTGATGATGAGCGGTGCAATTACCTGGGGAAAACCAACTTCCCTTGTCATCTGGAAGGATGGTATCTGGGTCAATGGGAGGAAGATGTTGTGGATCAGGCATGTATGTGGGTACTGGGATGATGGACGTGGGTGCTGTGTCAACAGTGTGATGAGGAGGAGGTATTCCATTGCTACAAGCTGAGCAAGGTCACATTGTGGAGCTAGGCATGCCTTATTCATTGCAATCCGGTCCTTGAGAGATTGGCCTTTCTCAGTAGGGACTGGAATACAACCAGAGCAATGGATAATGTTAACATGTGGCAGGGGAGGAACAATGACAGGTGGAGGTGCTGGTGGTGTGGGGATGGCAGGTGTGTCTTCTTCAATCATTGCTCTGGGGAGAATTAATGATTTTGAGAGACTTTCATCGAGGATTACATCCTGAGAGTTGAAGAAAGTGCCAGTGACTGCATGGCGACACTGCCACACCTTGACTCCAAGTGGAAATCCATGAAAACCGCCTCTCTAGAATGTGGCCTGAGCTTCTCTTGTAGTTCTGGTGGTATGTGGGTAAAGCGTCGTGTACTAAAGATGCGGAGGTGACCTAGATTAGGCTGAGTCCTGTGTAGCATTTCGTATGGCATTTTCCCCAGAGGTAGAGCTTTTGATTCTGTCTGGTTAGACAGGTAGCATGCAGTGAGTGCCACCTCACCCCACAGGGATGGAGGTAGAGATGCAAAGTCCAACATCACATACATATGACCTTTGATTGTACACATCACCCTCTCTGCCTTACTATTCTGCTGATGGGCATAACAATCATACCAGCGCTAGGCGCATATGAGTGCTATAGGCATATTTTGACTTGCCTGGAAGAAAAGAGTAAGGCGCTAGTCACCAGCACTATTCAGCTCCCAAGCTATCCGCTTTGGAACCACTTTTCTCCCATAGCGTGCTACCCGGTCCAACGTCTAGGTATTCCACCCTCCCATGTCCTGCCTATGTCCACCTACCTCTGCTGGTGCATTATATTTCCTTAAATGTCGCTACTCATCAGTCACAGGTCTTATTACATGTGTCCTCATACTCTGCAGCGCTGCATGTTCTATTACCTGTCGCTACATCATGCCCTCGCCAGTGTCGCTACTATACTCACCTACGCATCCCGAACCCCTACGCAGTATGATAAAATGACCCGTCCTACATACAGTACAGTACTTCCCTTCCCCAGACCTTTGCCGGTGTCGGAGTCACTTTAGTCGCTATATCCTAGTTTGGTACAATCGATTCCACTCTTGCCAATCTCTCTGATCGCGTGTCGCTTGACTTGCTTTGAGTGTGTGTCGCTAAAGATACCTTATAAAGTTTGATTTTCGCAACATCGGGATCACTGTCGGTAGTCGAGCTATAATCTAGTCACTATCGGGCATTCCACTTGCACTATCATACCTTGTTCCTCGCTTTCCCTTCTTTTGATTTCTTCTCGCTGTCGCTAGGTCAGACGTCGCATAGGACAACTTGCATAGCGCTCCTCACTTATACGCACGTTTCTCTGTGGGAACTCACTTGTCGCTAGTCGCTAATCACTAAAAACGCTACTCATTGGTTTTTGGTCTTAGGTCGCTATAGGTTATTAGCCCTTCGCATCATTGCTACCCTTGCATATTTGAAGGGAGTTGCTTCAATAGCAGTCCTCTTGGGTCGAATACTACACTCGCGCCTGTTTGGATAAGTAGCCCTAGTTTCTAACCAGCCTAGTCGCTATTTCTCCTTCACAGTGGTTAAAGTGTTCTCGCAGGATTTGCCATGCCTTACCTGCAGTAACATTGTGTGGACTGGGAATGAGAGATGTGACAGAGGAGCTGAGATGATGAGTGATGAGCTCTTTAGCCTTCATGTCCTTAAGCAGCCATTATTTCAGCGGCCATGGGATTTGACTGGATTGAGAGGTAAAGGCTTGACAGATGGTTGACTGGGAAGATCTCCCAGTTCAGCATTTGTGTTGATGTGACATCCATGGTTCTTGCATATGAATGTGTATTGCATTTTGGTAGCCCAACCAACCTAATTTTTCATACTGAGCAACTCAGAAATGTGATCATGCTTCCCCATGACGATACCATCATGAGGAGAAATAAGATAGGTGAGTGAAGAAACAATGTAAGTGAGAGACAGCATGCAAGGTGAATATGAACTGTACATAACCAAGAGAAAGGAACGCAGAGTCGATGTTGAACATCCAACAGACAGGAGGACAGAATGACAGGAGGACAGAAGGACAGGAGGACAGAAGGACAGAAGGACAGGAGGACAGGAGGACAGAAGGACAGAAGGACAGAAGGACAGAAGGACAGGAGGACAGGAGGACAGAAGGACAGGAGGACAGGAGAACAGGAGGACAGGAGGACAGGAGGACAGGAGGACAGGAGGACAGGAGGACAGAAGGACAGAAGGACAGGAGGACAGGAGGACAGAAGGACAGAAGGACAGAAGGACAGAAGGACAGAAGGACAGAAGGACAGAAGGACAGGAGGACAGAAGGACAGAAGGACAGAAGGACAGGTGGACAGGTGGCGGCAGGATGTGTGAGAATCTCCATCCAAAATAGGTAGTGGCGGCAAGGTGGCGGCTAGATGCGTGAGAAATCTCCTTCCAAAAAAGGTAGTGGCGGCTGACCGCCACCTCCATTATAGCCCTATAATGGTCGGGACATACATTTAGACGCATGTAATCGCCTCAATGTTCGTCATGTCTCATTCACTAACTGACATTGATCTGCACCTTGTCAGCTTGCACGCATGTATACAACAAGCGCTGGATACTCCGTTTTACACCCTTTCTTGTGGACCCACATGCCGAGAGGTATATCAGCCAGCAGGTTCTACACGCAATCAGGACAGCTGCATGACTTGCAATATCCCTCTTTTTCTACCTGATACCACCAAGCGTGGTATTTAGCGGGCAATAAAATTCCGCGTGTTGAGTAAGCATAGTAAGCATATCTCCCTCTCTCAGTTCAAGCTCGGTCCATTTTAATGATCCCTGGATTGGAAGCAACACTTGATAGCTGGCGTTCAAAGCCACGAACATCCAGCGAATATACATATATCATTGATGGGGATGTGTCTCGCGTGAATCTTAAGGCACCCGATGGGACACTGTTCTTCTTTTCAAACTGTCCAGACAAACCTGAAGGTCCGAACAAAGAACTTTGCCAAGGTATCAATCTAGTGATTGAGTGCTATGTACTGTACGTTTCTACTTGTCTATGGTCAAATAGTCATAAGTAAGGTTTCCTCTACACAGAGATGTGCTACTGACGTGAAATTGATCAGATACCTCAACTATGGAGTGCGTGCCTCCAATGAACTGAGGGTGACTAAATTCTGCATAATCGTGTGGCGCAGATTGAACGAATCGAAATTGAAAAGACTCGTCAAGCTGAGAGCACAATTTCTAATCGAAGAGCACCCAAGGTAGCTAAACGGCAAGGTAAGGAAGCCCATGCACGTGAGAAGGCTCGTATTGCCAAGGAGAAGGAAATCGACTCTGCTGCCAAAATCGATGCAAGTCTCAAAGCCGCTGCTACAAAACAAGCAGAGAAGGTTCGACTCGCTGCTGAGAAGGAGGCTCAGAAGGCTCGTTTCTCCGCAGAGACAAAAGCAGCGAGATATCGCAAGAAGGTACGTACTTACAGTATTTAGTTATAGTATTCATCTATTCTACAGGTGACGGAAAGACTCTCATGTAATGCTCGATCAGAACTGCTCACTACTTGTACCGCTGATGATGTTCCCCCTGTGGCTGACGCAGGTGATGAGAGCGATAAAGAGCTTACCTTTGATCTGCATTCAGATGATGATGCTGATTTTCTGAAGCGCTCTGCTGCCCTTCGAATGTTGATGCATCATACTGTGTCAGACCCGGATATCGACCATGCAGATACTCTGATCCGGCGATATACGAGCGAGTTACTCAGGGTATGGCTTCAACACATCTTGTACACTTATATGAGCTCATTGTGGTCTAGCATTACGCCTCGAATGGCATCAAACCAAGCCACCATTATGCCACACATATTGCAAGTTTTGTGCGAATCTTTGAGCCACTCCACGACCTCTTCCTTTAGAGCGCTTTAATAAAGTACTGAAGTATTTTAAGACAAATTACCACGCAGATGGAGAACCTGAGACGACATTCGTTTCAGAGTTCCACCGAATGTGCGAATCAAATCGCTTCGTACGTCTCTCACTATTTCATTTGATCACCGTATCAAAGCTTATTCATATCCTAGACTTATGCATTATTGCAGATGCCCGAAGAGGCTCTGCCATGCGAGGTGGCAGAGAATTTGCTGAAAGCTTCAGCTGAAGGGCGCGGTACAGTTGTAGATCTTCCAGATGTATCTAAAGAGTTAGACAAGGTTAACGCTGACGGTAAGTAGCACTTCTGTTTCTTAGGGTTTTGTTTCCGCTCACCTCTTACCACTGTATACTGCCGATCTGACGGTCCTGTTATCCCTCATAGTATTCCACTTAACCGCGAGGCAACTTTGTTTGACTATGTTGTTATCAAAGGCAAGCGGTGTTATGCATGACGTACCGTTGGTTATAACTCTTCCTCTCTTGTCCATCCTGGCTCTTCCTCTCTTGTCCATCCTGGTATGCCTAATGTACATGGTGAGGGTACCCGGGAACCATATGGGGAAGTACTTCAGGCGTTTTAGCGTAATCAACTCTTTCAATTTTTCGGTCAATAAAGGTGGTTCGCCCGTATGCGATGGTGGAAGCAATGGCATGCCATTGACACAGTGGAGGCAAACATTCCGTGAGCGTCCGTCGTTGAGAATTGGAATACTATCAAGGGCTAGACAGACAACTTCCCAGTCTCATTCATCTTGATTCCACAGATGGAAACCTGGTTTGCACAATGGTTGCAATAGGTGGGGTGACGGTGTGGGTGACTATTGATTTGGCTAAGGAATGTCTATCTTGACGAATATTTATAAAGACTGACTTTTGAGAACACAGTAAATTATGTGGCAAGAGATGTATAACGCATTTGATAATAGAGTCGAAAGTCGAGTGAGTGTGTTCGAAGCTAATCCTAACTATCTTTATCGTCCGCATTCCACTCCAGCTCTTCAAGATACTTCTTGTCCTCTACTGCAAGGTCTCCGTCATCAACACACCTTCTAATGTCCTTCATCCACTCCGCGCCTGGCACACCTCAACGTCTGGGTGCTCCTCTAGCTATGTTGCACTCGCCATTGCTTTGTATAGGACCGGTGACCTGCCTATTCTCACGGGACGAGAGCTCATATTGGAAGGATGAGCATCAAATGTTGTCTGGTGTACGCTCTTCGGTTTTGTTACTTTGCGACGCTTTGATGATGGTCCAGCAGTTCCTGCTTGTGTATCGGCTTCCACTGCTGTATTATCTCCGCCATAATTGCGACGCCAGATCTCATCTAGATCCCGCACAAATGTATTGTACTATCGATGATGAAGGTACGCTGTGTCCTGATAAAACTTGATGTTTTACATCTGGTGATTGCCATTGCACCCCTACTACCCTACGACTTCCTTTGCCTTGATTTTGGTGCTGGCGACGCTGTGCTGAATCAGCACTCAGCTAGCCCTCTACATATTATAGGTGATCTTATTTGTAATCTGTATCAATCGGTGCGACTGAACCTTCGCACTCGTAGGAGTCTTCGAAGTGTGTGATGTCACTCCAACAAATATTTGCTACCTATTGCGCACATTAGTTGTAAGTGAGCGTTTTTATGTTCGCTCAACTTACAGTCTGACGCCTCCCTCGACAACGCGAATTTGTTTGCGTGTTAGTAACCATTTCTGTCAGACAGTCTTTATAACGTTGCGACTGTAGTCCTTGTCGTCCATCTCGGGTATCTTCTTTGGATCATTTAGTATGGCCTACCAGAGTGATTAGCAGAAATCAAATAAAAAGTATACATTCAAGCAGTTGATCACTGGTCGCATTCGCACAATGTCAGCTCCACAAGGACTTCAAGCTATGATTCGTTCGACTTGCAATTGCTATGTTATGACAGAAGAACACAAGCGTACTAACCACAATAAGTGTGGTGGCATCGAAATGAACCACTGATCACTCATTGCTTACTAATCTACATGCATCTCCCACTTGGCGCGCTCCCTTATTGAGTACCGTCTCTTGTCACTTCCCATTGTCAGCAAATACATCTTAACCACATACGCCAACCCTTCATTGTCACTCGACTTTATCACTAATTATGCCATCTACTGGAGGACGACCTGCAGGACCACTGCGACTGTCAACTAATGAAGGTATGTACTGTATGACGTTCAGCTCGTATATTCATGCCCGTACTCACTACCGACTTCAAATAACTACAGCAGTCGTTAGAGGACCACGCACTGCCAATCGCGTTGAATCCGACGTCAGAACGCACCTGTACAGTGTGTTATCTGGCGTGCATGACATATTTCACATCGCGATCAATCTTGACAAAAACATCGACAACAACATTGGCGAGGAAGACGTGGAGCGTGAGGCCGTCATTGAGCAGGTCGATATTGCTGTGCGGAGGATGATCAAGTTAGCTAAGGCGCAGAAGCTCGAGGCGAAGAAGGCGATGGATGAGTGCGCGACATGGGAGGATACTGACGCTGATGGGGAGTATATTGTCATCCTGATGACGAAAGTGTCGGATTTTCTTCAGGAAATCATTGCGACAAGTAGAGCAATTCTCGAGAGCATCGATCCAGCGGGACCCCGTAGGAATGATACGGAGGCGTGTGTGGGGAGAGCTATACAGATAGAGTTGGATATTTGGTCAATCCTCACCTTGTGTATCAATTCACAAAAGGAGGTGGATGATGCCTTGGCGCATTCAGAGTTCTGGTAGTTCTGATACACCTTAGGATACATGGTCAAAAATGCAATGGTAATTGACTTTGGATGAATAGGTTTTCAGACGTTGATTAAACACGTTCTTCACAATGAGATCGATCTTACCGATTGTCAGTCTTCATGTTCTGCAACGGTTCATTGAAGCAGGTGGATGATTTCCACATGCATTTAATCGCCTGGATTTTCATCGTTTCGCTTTCACTAACTGACGCTAATCTGCACCTTGGCAGGTTGCACACATTTATACAACAAAGATGCAGGCCAGGTCATACGTCTTACGGTTCCAGAAAACTTCAAACAATGATCGTTCACCTGTGGTGAGACGGAGCCTGGCCCCGTTGTATGTATTGTCAACTGCCCAAGGTGTCGTACGACAATCAGCCATGACGAACCGGGGAAAAACAAAATATTCTTGACGTGCGATGCATCCGACTACGCAACAGGCGCGATGCTGTCCTGGGGACCTACTAGAGAATCAGCAACGGCGGAACTGAATTATCCAGCGCATCAAACGGAGCTGTTAGCGATCATTCGTTCGTTCAAAAAATGGCGATTGGAACTGCTTGGGTTGAACAACATCGTGCTTGTCTCTTCCACGCTGGGGTCTTGGGTCTGGCCAGTTGCAATCAGCTGCTTAATCTTGGCTAACTTCTTGCGCATGTCTTTGATTTCTTGCTCCACAATTTTTCGTGTGCGTGGCAAATCATAACCATCGTGTAGGAAAAGCGATACGTCAGAGTCATGAATGCGCACTCGGAGAATAGTGTCGCGTAGACTGCCCAATAGCTCGATTACAGAGAATACAAGTCAAAGGCAAAAACTCACCTGGAACGATCGCCCGTATTGTCTGGAGGAATCGTGTCGTAATAATGTTCGATAGGATGGATAGGCTTCATGATGCGGATTGTTTCTCCTCCTACCTTGGACACGACCCCCGTTTCCCCAGCTACCGGTGTTATTCGGCCGTCCTCATGCACATCGAAGTCTTCTAGGTCATCATCCCTGAGCTCCCGCAAACCAGCAGCCGAACCAAAGGATTCGTCCAGGTAGTCGAGATTCGTCGTTAAGTCATCGTTGATCATATCGGCTGCATTGCCGACATCGGGAATCCGCCTGAAGGCTTGCTCGTCGAGAGATGCTGAAAGGAACACTTAGTTACCCTCGCATGTTCCGCAATAATAACAATCACCCATCATGCCTTGTTCAGGTGGACGATGAACCAGTGAAGCGGGAGCTTTCTTCCTAGACACTGTTGGTCTGTGGAATGATTATAAGCAACTTTGCTACACAGAAAGTTTAGATAATCGCGTACTCTGCGGGAGAAGGGGACTTGAATATAGACGTGAAGTCATCCATATAGCCTGCCAGTGCAGCTATAGTATCCGCACATATGTGCACCCGTAAGCTGACATGATTCACAAGTACCTAGATTTGATTGAGGGACGACAAGTAACCCGGCACGCTATGACCTACGCCAACACTTGGTGGGACACATGCATTATCAGTCTTGAACACAAGGTCCAGATCTTCGATATCTGCAATTGATGCAAACCCGAAATTCTGTGAACGAGCATCATCACATTGTTTTACTTCTGAGCCAAAGGAGAAATCACCTTCCACAAGTTGAGACTGGAGCCTCCGCTTGTCTTGGCAGAACCTGGACCGTTGGGAGCATCGGCCATAGAATCGACCAATAAGAATGACAAGGAAGGAACTAGTAACTTGAACTTGAACTCGCTGGAATTACCAGCAAGCTCGGTGTTTAGCTCGGCTTCGCCAATGTACAGGACTGCAGAGCCAGGGTGACTAGGGGCATGTGTCTTGATCGATACGTCTACAATTGCGAAAGAAAGGGACGTTCGTTCTGAAGGAACGACTGATTCGAAGACCTTAAAAAGCTCATCAATCCATCCAACTCCGAGGAGGGCACACTTACCCCCGGTGGAGATTTTATAAATCGAGCCAAGTCCGAAGTCCACTGCAAATCAGGATAAACATGGCAGGTGAAGCCCCAGAGGGCCAACCGTATCTTGGTCTCTTTTGCGCCGGTTTCTGGAACTACCAGGGAAGCAAAGCGAGCCTTTATCATGGGCCTTGGCACAGAAGACTAGACTTTCGTGAGGGACGCAGCTACGACAAATAATCTGCACAACACACCAGACTGCGAGGTAATGTAAACACGAGGAGAGGTACGAGCTCCCACTTTGGCGATACGTCCCCGACGTGAAGGTCCATCAAGCTCGAGGTTATGACAGTCTCATCCTAATTGAAGAAAATGAAGTGAGAATTCGAAGATATATCTTTGCTATTCCACAACCCTTGCCATCAGGTTTCAGTTCAACAAGGACAACAATGTCTGAGGCGGATATGTCGAAAGGACGAATTGAGGGTGCGGATTTTTGGGAACGGGATATCAGTATTCTTACTACAGCTGTGTTTCGAAGATATCAGCGTGAGCAATAACTGAAGCCAAAATCGACTCCACCTTCAGCAATGATCACCTTCACGGCCGTCTCGCTTTGTTTCGGCGTTGGCGCGATAGTGCCGAAGCTGCTCTCGTCACTACCACGACTCCCAACGCGCCTTGATTTGGCAAACAACCTACTGCCAATCAGGCTCGGGTTGCGGCTCTGAGCGACTTCAGTTTCTGTTTCCTCCGCGGCAGTGGCGACCACTTGTGTAACACTGTCAGCCCAAATTTGCAATCCATCGAAGACTGGTTTTTCAAGAACGACGTTGACCAATGGGACATAAATGATGATTGAAGTCCTATGCATCGAAGAAGAGACAGCAGCCTTTGATGGAGCCACCTGTGTCAATTGAAAGCGAATAGGAAGTGAGTCCGGCGCCTGTTCTGACAACAGCAATGAAGCCGATCCGGGGTGAACGTCATCCGTTCGTGGCAAGGAACCAAGTGATATGAAAGCATGCGCCTTTGAATCTCCTACGGGCGCATACGATAAAACAATTCCCTTGATCTGGCCACTCAAGAGTTGTCCTGGCAGATTTTTGACGCTGGGATTCCTTGATTCACCAACATCCCCGAATCTGATAGTCGGTGATTCTTGATCAAGGGGTTTGTTAGACACCTGTACGTCATGGAGATCCAGTATAATGCCTCCTGATAGGGAGGGCTGAAGGGATGGTGATCTGCATCGAACCTCAGCGCGGAGGGCAGGTAGGATTCTGGTGATCTTCGGATGCGACGTCTGCTTGGACTTGGGCTACAAGCGAATAGTATGATAAGTCAGATATATAACACACAACTGCAGATTACGTTCCCATCTACCTTGTGTTTGGTGTTTGTGACTCGCTTGCTGTGGGGTCTCTGTCTCGCTGGTGCCCCGGTCCGATAGTCGATGTCTAAATCCAAATCCTCCAAGACAAGTCTTTCCAAGCGTCTTCTCTCTCTCTCGCGTTCGAGTTGCTTTGGTGTTATGAATGGAGTGTTAAGTTCATCATCGCTTGCTGAATCCTCCTCTTCTGTGTCGTCCAGTGAACTACGCCCTTGGGATGTGTCGGAAGCGTCCCGAGTAGGAGATCCTTCAACTGCTAGGACTTCGTCAAGAAACTTGAGCACACCGCCGCCCTCAAGCATGATATCGACGTCGAAGAACACGTGCAATGGTGCAATTCGAACCAAGATGTCGGTCAAACCCCCTGAACGGGTAGTCGCAGGGGTGACGCGAGCGGTGAAGGTAATAGCACTGGAAAGGGACAGCTCCTTAAATTCTTCTTCACTCAGCAACGCCGCCGTGGGTGGTTTTGGAGATGTCGGAAATGCAGAAAATTTCGACGGTGGACTGTGTACTAGCTGATCTTTCCCTGTAGATGACTTTACTCTCCAGGTCGACAACTTCGAAGAGCCTCCTGCAAGTTTCACAGCAGTCCAATCCACCACCTCCAAAGTCGGCAATGTTACTTCTGAAAGCGGCTGCGCTAGAACGGTTATCGAAGAGAACAATGGGCGACAATGACTGACAATATATTGATTATGCAGACGATGATCTGTAATAAGGAGTGGTAGCGAAAGTTGCGCCGCGTCCTTCTCGACAGTCCTGGAAGTGTGGTACATGAAGACCGAGAGATTTGAGAGGAGTATGTTGGATGTTATCGGAGAAATATATGTTGCATCAGTCTTGTTTCCAGGAGCCCCAGATAAATCAAGAGAGCCCGTAACATTCTCCAACAATACGCGTAAGTATGTCGAAGGCAATCTTGGAGGGATAAGTGGAGACTGGAAAAATGCTTCAAGCGATGGAGCCTCCTGATCTAGGGCCTCAGTGATCACAAGGGTCACAATTCCACGGATATTTAGACTTGCGTGCAAGCCGCACTGGAGGGTCGGCGGGCTTGGTGTGGTCTCAGGGTGTTGGGGAGTGGTACCAGCATTCTTGGATCCGCAGTAATTGAGCATTTCCAATAGCATGCGAACGTGACAAGCCCGAAGAGCACATGACATGATACCAACACTGACGCTGAGACATAAGGTTTCGTCCTGCTTGACCGCGATGTCCTCCGTGTGAGGCGAAACTATCTCAAGAGTCGACGGATGCGCGACGTCATGCTTTGTGTAACCAGGTGGCGTTTGTAGTCGAACCACGATAGGGTCTGCACCAACAGAAAAAACAAGATCTTCTGTAGCCCAGTGAGGTACATGGGCAGACTCTCGATTGCCTGCTATGTGATCGCACGAGCGAGGTTGAGTTATATCTCCCGTACCAAAGTTGCCGAGGGGCTCACGGGGGGTGGTTGAAGAGCAGCCAGCAGTAGAGACCGCGCTCTGATACATGCTACTGAGAACTGAGCTAGACGGAGAAGCCCGAAACTGACTACGTGGTGTAAGAGCAACAATGGACTGCGACATCATCATCTGCGTGTCTTCATCAATGGAGGAATAAGAGGACGCGGGTGACACCGGGCGAGGAGCCTTCTGATGATCGTGCAGCGTGACATGGGACGAAGTGAGCGACACAGGCGATATGGTTCGTGGCGAGGTGACAGGGTTCTCTAAAGTAGCTCGAATGTCCCGAGAGGTAATGGTGACACCTGATATCGAGACTATACGTGTGTGACCATTCCGTGTGGATCTTTCAAGAGCAACGTTGCTCGATGGCTCGTCTCCAGTACTTTGCTGCTTTGGGACACTTGAGTCCGTACTATATGCAATTTCTGGTATTGACAGGGTAACGCTTGAGTGTCCGCGGTGGACAATGACTATTTTCGTGTCCGCAGCAGAGAACTCGAAGCGTGCAAGTAAATGTTCGAAGAGGGTGGCAAACAGGGATACCCCAGAAGGGTCAGAATCAATGCCAATTTCTTCTTGAGGGTGTACACGGGTAGATGAATCTAATCCTCCGGGAAGGTGATGACCCTCATCATAAGCGTGCTGAGGTCGGGAATCTGGATGTAAAGACTCTCGGAGCGTGGCTTCTTCCCGAGGGGTAAGCTCGCCGTGGATGAATGTCTCTGCTACTGATGCAACAGATTGGGCAAGATTTACACTATTTGGAGAGCTGAGGTCGGATGGAGGGGTGGCATGCAATGTGAGGTGTAGTGACTGTACCGCAAGCCCTACACTGGAAGTGAGAGGATTGGGGAAGGGTATTCGTGCAGTTACACAAGATATGGAACCATCGTGAAGTCTGAATGGTGATCCTGCAAGGAGTTTATTGATCGCCTTTGGATTAGTCAATGAATGGACAGTTAGACCAAGAGGTAAAACCCGAACCTGGTCATCTAGCTCAAGATCCCTTACTTGTACAACCCCAGAGCCTATCTTCGAGTCTATCTAATGAGGATCGAGCTGCCCTGGCTTTAAAAAATGTCCCAGTGACTTCTTAAGAACGAATGAAAGAAACCGACGCTGAATTGCAGAGGGTAAGGAGAAGTCGAACGATGGAAGCCCAGAGGACCAGGAAGGATACCAAGTAGACACGATAATGGGCGTTACTTGAAGATGCGTTCAAGATCGAGATTGATTCATGACCTAGTACTCTGCATAATATTGTAGGAGTACGTATTGAGCCAGGTGGGCACACGCAGCAAAGGTGCAGGGGGTATAGCTGAAAGTACTACACCAGTACTTCGGCGTTGCCTTTTCCGTCGCGTATGATATCAAAGTGGACTTTGCACAAACTTCACAACTAAGTATGTAACAGCTCAAATGCCAGGACTCCCAATGTCTCATTAATGCATTCGTGATATATTTTGAATGGGGCTTGATGGATACTCATGAGCACATTTCCCCAAGGAAAGCTCCGTTGAATTGAGTGGGACTCACTGATATATGCAGGTGATGAAACTAAACTGAGGCGCGAGGCGTGAGCGCAATGCGGTCATCATCGAGTGGTCTGAATATGTATATTTCTTCGAGAAGCCAATCTATGTCAGTGCTGACCGCAAATAATAAACCATGGACTATCACGATGATGAACACAAACCATTTACCTGAATTCTTCCTGAGTGATCTCAATCACCTGTGTCACGCGCTCGCACACAGCAGTTATCAAAACCCCATAAATAGCATCACCCTGGAGCTGATACAGGTTGGACACGATAGCGAGTTGTGTCGCTGTCAATTGGGCTAGCTGGCTATAATAATGTGGAGAATACTGAGAACTAATTTGGAGCGAGGAGTCAAAGGAAGAAAGGGGGCTCGGTGTTCGCATGACTGTGCAAGGATGGGCCACCCGAACAATGGCATAATGAGGAGTTTCAGGCTCATGTGCGAGAAGTGGTGTAAGAAGTTGGGATGCAGCTTGCTTTGAGGTCGATGCGGAACTCAGACCCTCATTATGATCGCCATACCGCGGTAACGGCCCAGCAGGAGTCTGAGGAGAGCTGACATTTCTACCTTCATCATTCTGGGGCAGATCAAAAATGAACGATAAGATTGTTCAAATGCTCGCGAGTCGGCTGCTATCGAGTCTTCCGCATCCCCTTTGAACTCTTGGACGACAAGCATCTCGTCTGTGTTGTGAGCCTGCGTAAAGTCGGAATACATATGTCAATCATGAATCCGGAATATGCACATACCTGTCCTTTGTGCCTCTCGACCATCAAACTTGTCTTCATGCACTCAAGAGTATGATACATAGCCTGATGATATCCTGCCCCAATCATGGACTCAATATCCATTATTTTTTGCTGGCCACGCTGGATAAGTGTGCCCTTGACACAAGCTAGACTGTTGTCACTTGATGGATGACGATAAGATTAGAAATTTGAATTATATTGTAACTTGAAGCCACGACGCACAATTGTCGTATCATGGCCAAGAACGCGGCATGATCTTGTCCTGCTGTGTTACTCCGTGACCCATATATTCTCCCAGTGCCATCATCGAGGTCATAAACACCTCGAGCATCACTGGTACGTAACATGACATGGGTGACCAGCAGGACCTTCAGGGATTTGAATATGTTTGATCTTTCAGAAAATTTCAAATAGTAGTGACTCGCCTTATCGAACTTGGCCCCACCAAGCGAGAACTGAACATCGTTGGCTAAGCGTTCCGCCTGCAACGCTTGGTAAACCGTGATCGGTCTGATTGATTCTGTTTCAGATGACTTGATGATTGTTGTTTCCACTAGCAAAGGTTCGCAGTCTTCCATCGTTGTGAGCACTATGGAGACGCATCGAATCCGTTTCCAGCTTAGTGGCGGCCGCCTGATCGACACTGTCTACTGGGCCTGGGCCTTGGGCCTTGGGCCTTGGGCCTTGGGCCTGAGGCCTGAGGCTTGAAGCTTGAAGTTCGAAGTTTGAAGACCCTTGTGTAACAATGTTTACCATCCTTCCATTTTGAGGTAACTACTGATACTTGTCTTGCAGAAGAAAAAAACGAACGGCTACATCAATCAGGATTCAAGGAATCGAACAAGAGTCTCGGCAGTTTCAGCACTACCTAAGTACCCGCAAGCAACTTTCATTGTCAGAAGTACACGACCATGGTAGGTCCATCAATCAGCAACCTTGAAGTTCGAATCGTCAATAGTAGTAAAGACAAGGCCGTCGTCCATGAGTTTATCTAAAGCATTACTGGGGATTGCGTCAGACCAGCAGAGCCGAGCATGCCTTGTGAGACATACCTGATTGTGACAGCATTACCTCCGACAGCACGCGCAATAGAACCAACGGGCACGCCTTCCTCATCAGAAGGTTGGTTCAGCATGAACGTTATGATCGTATGTTCCAACTTCGGCAAATGGGAATATTGGCTGTTGTTCGTAGCCGGGGAATGTGACTGAACTGCGTATGCAGAGCCTCCGGCTGCCGGGGGTCCGACAGCCTGGGCCTGTGGAATTGTTTTTGGATTTTGTCCAGCACGAGGGGGCTGCTCACGAGGATCAGATCGGTAATATCGTAATTTGGTGTAACGTACCGCTCCTTTCGCCCATATTAGTGTGACCGTCATCGCTTCCAAAAGGTGGAAGTATATCTCATGAGGCGACTTGACTGGCCGTATATGAGTTGCATTTACGTATCGCTTGCTGCCAAACATTTTCAACGTGCCGGATACACGTACGTATGATCCCTCACTGTCCTCGCATTAGTTTCACTGCGGCCTGCGAAGGAGGAAATTTACGTGATGGCACTCGACCCCGTTCCACTCTCTTCTATTGAGGAGTCAATCCAATGTCGGGCTTCAATGCGACCCGTGCCATCGTCGAGCCAGTATAAGTTGTTGGTGGCTTGGCTCTGTATTGAAACGACGTGGCCGACGACGGTGACCTGCAAATTCGCAGTTCGTCCAGCTAGCTACGCGAAAATGGATGTAAAAATTACCTGGCCGAGTTCTGTATCATCCAGCATCCACTCCGCGTCCGAATGCGCTTGGGTTGCATTTAGGAGTTGAAGTACAGTCAGAGGTCGTAAGGAGTGGGCTATCTCGGTTCTCTATATTGCACTCAGTTTAGGAGAGAATTAGAATGGTTATATGCAGCGTACTCGACTAGCTCCTCCCGGGCTACCGCTTGCGCTTCGATATGGCGATCCACCAGTCATGAATCCACCACCACCACCTCCACCTCCAGCACCACTGTTTCCGTAGTAGTCGTTGACTTCCCAGCCTAATTAGTAGGATTGTCAGAGATAGTATGACTGCTCACATTGACTCATCTCGTTGACGTTCCTTTAGTGAGTGAATTTATCGTGATGGCGCAGTGAGCAAGACACGATAGAAACGCGTAGAGTCACAAGTCACGCGTATTGCATGACATAATTCAATGTCACAATTACATCCGACAAACCTAAGTACGTAGTGTGGCAGTAGCATGAGTAGTGAGTGGGGGAGTAGGTGTAAAGTAATATATGCAATGTCAGTATCGAAAGTGGAGGGCCGGTTTACTGGCCATAATTGGTGCAAATCTTGACCATTCCTTTACCAACGCCCTCAAGTACTTTCTTGCGCGACTCGCCGACGTGCTTTGCAATATTGAGCACAAAATCATGATGCAGCTAACGAATGATGTCAAGGCATAATCTGATGATCGAACGCGCACGCCTACCTTCGGGAAATCGGCGATGGATTTGCAAGACTCAACGAAGATCTTCCGTCGTTCAGCAGACCCGGCCACCTCGCCTATCTTCAAAAGGTCATTCGACATTGTCTTGAGTACCGTGCAGGCATTGGAGCAAATATCCTTGAGGGATTGCACGAGCTGAAATGTGAGGAGATGGGTTAAGACACGTCTTTTATTAAAGCCTATCATTCCACTTACTGCCCCCAATCTGTTCCAGTGCATCAAACGGAGCTGTTAGCGATCATTCATTCATTAAAAAAATGGCGATTGGAACTGCTTGGTGCGCACATTGAGGTGTATACTAACCATCGCACACTACAGAATTTCCAAAGCCAGCGCGACCTGTCTCGACGACAAGCTCGCTGGGCACATAAAAAATGGTGAGTGCATATACAACTGGACATGCTACTAGTATTACTCACATTTCAAACATTGTCGCGCACGGCTTTCGTCGCCTTGTCAACAGATTTGGTAGACAGACCAAGAATATGAAAGCTGCGACGGTCATTGATCAAGGTGAGAAGCTTGACACGGGGTTCTGAGGCATGTTCGTAGGCATCCGATGGTTGTTTACGACGCTGTTGCGTGGAAAACCCATGGAATAGTGGGTGCGCGTATATCTTATTGTTATTTTCGAATGCACGACTGTTAGTTGACATTTTGCCCACACACCTATCATCCATTATGAACCCTCGAAGTGCAGTGTTGTGCTCTGGAACGAGCGTCTCTTGCCATCCAATTCTGACGTGACATATTTGCTTTGCAGGTTCCAGTGATTATCTGCTTACGGTTGCTAACTCCACTCTATGCCGGTCGGGCTATTTTGTCGTTTCCGCATTGAATTAGGATCTTGTTCGAATGTCGTCTGTGCAGCGAGTGCTTGTCGCCGTTCAATTCTGCTTACCTAATATATGTATGAGGCAAATCCCGAACGTTCATTGCTCCTTACAAATTCACAACTTATCCATAGTCAGTAACGTGCTACATAACCCGATACACTATGTGCTTTTCTACATCGAAGCGTGACGCAGATTCCGCGCTTACACCTCCGAAGGCGAGCAAACGAATGCGCCTTCGTTTGAATTCGGATGAAGGCACATCAAATGTATGTTCCAATTTTTCTTGAATATATATCTAATTTACCACTTACCTGCACTACGCACCTGAAGGACAACGAATGCAACTGCCGGACTTCCTCGCAGAATCAATGCACTATGAGGGAGCGCGCCTGCGAGCTTCTAGAGACCTTGGAGCGAATCGAGTATCACGTCGATTATTTGGAGGCCGATAGGGTGCGAGATAGAGAGGAACTTGAGGACACACGCGTGGCACATCGTCAAGAGGTTGAAGAGTTGGGGATTAAGCATGACGAGGAGATTGAAAGGTATCGCGAGCGCATTAACGCATTGGAAGATGAGGTGCGACATCAGCAGGAGATGCTGAACGTCCTCAACAATAACGTCGAGTGGCTCCAGGAGGAAACGGATCGGCAAAAGATGGACATCGAAAGGTTCATTAGTGAGGGCGTTCAAGATGGGATGGACCGCCGAAGGACGCTTGCTTTCATGAGAGACTCAATCGTCGAAATGTTTAACAGCTCTAACTTGTAATATTTACTTTACAACGTTTACATGGACTCCCCTTCGCTCGGCTCTACAACAGTATCATATTATGTTTACAGTAGCAACTCAGGAAATACTATATCAACGTCTCTGCAAATATATGATGTTTCTTCGCGTTCTCACGTCCGACAACACCGTATGCTCTTGAATAAGTGCCACGTTACAGACGTGAATCTTGAAGTCGCGCCTTCGATAACGAACTTTCCTGGGCCTGCATGCAACATGATAAAGTCCAGGAATATTGACGCGTGCTTTCGACATGTCAAAGCAGATGTCAAGCTTTATTATACTTCGCACTCCTCATCATGCACTGGCATTATGGGCGACACTTGACAAGGCATAAGTACTACGTTTGAAAAAAAAAGGTTTGATGTAATGTCTGCATCCGGTATTACTTGTATGCATGTATTTCATCCCACAAAGCCTGATGTTCGTGTGTTGTGTGATAAGAAAACTCAGCAGCTGATGAAGTACATAGAATCAATTACATACCGAAGCCTCGCCTTCGTAGCGGCGAGGAAAGTACGATGGTGTCTCCGGCTCAAACATTTCGGTTACAAAGTCGTGACCTTCACACGCACGTCTCTGTCTCTTCACAGGAAATGAGTATAGTAGGATAAAGATAGAAAAAGACTTACAGCGCTCTCAGCCTTTTGCCAGCGGATGACTCGTTGTTGCTATGGTTCAGTCAAGCTGCTGTCCACCGGCGGTTCAAGAGCTAGTGTGATCCGTCACCGTTTGACAGGGTGTCCAAGACAAATTTTCAACATTCTACATAAAAACCGTTGATGTCAGTACTTGTTCGTTGTGTTTCAAACGTAAAAGTAGCGGCAGTACTCACCACAGGTCACGGTCACCTCGGTTCTAAATAAAACGTAACAGCTTGTAGGTGGGCGAGTACCTCAATGCTGATAGTAATGTTTGGCACAGTGCTTAAGTACTAGTAACGGACTTGGCGAATGTTTCGAAACGCTCACATTGTTTCAAGTCTACCCTAAACAGATCAGGGCTGGATAGCGATTGAATAGCAGGTATGTGAAGTGAATATACGGGGGTCCGAAAAGGTGTGTTGGCGAAGGTGTAAAAGTGTCTGTTCGAGCGAGGAAAAATCGCGACACGTCGGACTTACATCTGCTTACAGGGTAGGTACGTTTCCAGCTGTGTTATACATATTGTTTCCTTCGGATTTGTGCGTTCGACGGATAAATGCGACTGTCACGTGACACTGACTGATCATTTCAACCTTCAAAGTCCGTTACAACTTAGTGTCGAATCTCAATGATGGTGAGTTAGAGTTACACGTGGCACTTAATGACACAAAAGAAGTACTGGTTGTCGAAGGTGGTCAATATGAGAAGGTACATAGTCACAACATCCATACATAGAATATGAGATTCAGATGTTCAGTACAATGATGCTAAATGACTACACCAATGTCTGTTTGGTCCATTTGTCTGCACCAAGGTCATCCCGTATTGTATTGATGATCACTGTGTTCTTGCTTGTGGGACATTTGATGCAAGCTGATATGATGTACTCCACAACTAGAAACTTGAATAAATCCAACAGTGAACACATTATTAGGATTCAAGATCCCTATTAGCATCGCACACAAGATAGTTATTAGTCCACACAAATTTGAATGTATCATTTGGAAGATTAATTCATGTTATCTTACTTTGGATTCAATTTTAATGTCCCATAGAGTATTAGGGGTTATACCCTAAGGATGTTAGCATCAATCTTTTGTAATCACACATATACTACAGTACACTGAGAGAGAGAGATGTGGGAATAGGGGAAGATGGACATCATCATCGATAGGTGGCCACCATCGACAGTGTAACGCCCATAGAGGCGCGAAACCACCCAACATAGTTCAAGGGTTGCGTAGAAGTGGGGCAAGGAAAAGAACGGTGACCACCATCATCGACAGTGTAGCGCCCATAGAGGGGCGAAACCACCCAGCATAGTGTACAAGGGTGATGTAGAAGTGGGACAAGGAACAGAATGGTGGCCACCATCATCGACAGTGTAACGCCCATAGAGGCGCGAAACCACCCAACACAGTCCAAGGGTTATGTAGAAGTGAGACAAGGAACAGAATTGTGGCCACCATCATCGAAAGTGTAACGCCCATAGAGGCGCGAAACCACCCAGCATAGTCCAAAGGTTATGTAGAAGTGAGACAAGGAAAAGAAAGGTGGCCACCATCATCGACAGTGTAACGCCCATAGAGGCGCGAAACCACCCAGCATAGTACAAGGGTGATGTAGAAGTGGGACAAGGAAAACAAAGGTGGCCACCATCATCGACAGTGTAACGCCCATAGAGGCGCGAAACCACCCGTGAAGGTAATGGTAAGGAAGCAAGAATGAAAATTGCCAAAGGGCATCTATATAAACTTCGTATCACGTGACATTCTCACGCCACATCAATAACAGGCGGAGTTTTATCACTAGAGGGCCCACCTGTCATTTTTAAAAGGTCCGTGAAATGATGATATTCTTGATTATGATTATATTATCTCTCTAATTGTCATAGAAGGTCTCTAATATCGATCCCTTGCAGTTTCGATGGAAGTACAAAGACGATACAATGAGATTCATTGGCTCGAACCTGTATGTGAACGATAAGTAGAGACGGAATGGATCCATGATGGAATCTAACACTCACACGATGTAGGTGGTTTTAGAAACACGAATCCAGGATGCTGCATCCTCTCTTCTACGAGTTGAGTGAAAACCTTTACACCTTCCCCTTCCCCTGCAAAACATCATACTTGAATTCAACAAGCTCAAAGACATACAAATCCCACAGGCTTTCTAATGTGCGTATTTGATATAAGCGTCCGTGTCATAATACTCGAGTACACCTTTATTGACTGGACCTGGAACTCCGATGGCAGCGCGCACTAACCATGGCTCTTGCGGTGCAACTACAATGGTATGCCCACCTCTGCCACGAACGACTCATCTTCCTAAAACTTAAAGTAATATGCTTCTACGACCAGGTGTATTGCTATAATCAAACTGATATAGCACGCAAATGCCTCTTTGTGCTATCTACTGTTTGGCCATTCGTGAAACAACGCTCGAAACAGTGGACTTCATTCTACGCCATAACGCACATTGGAGTGATAGTCCCTTGTAGTATTGAATGTAAGACGGTGGAAGCCCTATCGGTGTGTTCGGAATAAGAATTCTAAAATGTTCTTGATTATGCAAGTACAGACATTATGTGTAATGCCCTTCTGTTGTTATATGATAACCATCGCAGGAAGTATATTCAGCCGGTTAGACGTATTCACGTCGTCCTCGATTCTGAATGAAAGAAATTATATACTAAGAAGTATCGACTACTCGCATCCACCCTCTTCTATCATCGACCTTTGACTTCGGTTCACTGTCATTTGACCATGCATTCGTATCTCATGGCCTCCAGCATGATCGTGCCGCGATCTCTTTCAACTATTGTGCTCACTTCTGACTGTCTTGAAGTGTCAATTGTCATTTGAAGCCCTTTGCACATTCAAGGCGATTGCACACCCATTATGTCGTGATACATCACTTACACTGGATCTATTATAAAATGATGTAGAGTGGAGACAATGGCAAGGGGACGCATCTGAAATGCAGACAGGACTACAATTACGCCAGCCCTTTGTGGCTCTGGTATTGTGCTGTTCATATATATACATATATGCAGGTGCGATTTGTAACCAGTCTATTCAGCATATCTGTGACGATCTACAACACCAGATCACTACTACCCTTACGATCATCCCACTGATGATATGCACGGTTATGATCTATATTTTCTCGATGTTCAAGATTCCCATCGACGTCGTCAATGTAGACTCGCTTTGCAACATTCCGAAAGAGGGAGCAGTTGTAAGTCTCATACGTGTCACAGGGCTCATCATTGGGCGCAAGATTGCAACAAGGTATTGCCACGCAGCTGAGGCTGTTGATAGGACATGTCGTAATATTCACAGGAGATGTACCTATCGGTGGAATTGCCACGTTGATTGGCAGAGACTTTGCTCTGACACTTTCAGTAGTCATCAAAGGTCATGGATTGTCTGGCATGAATCCCTCTCTTCAAGTTCACTCACCCGTTAGCATATGTCGGAGATGATATTATTGCAGCATGCAAACAATGTCACAAAGATATGGGAGGAAGAAGAATAGGTGACCACCACCATGGATAGTGAATGCCCATAGCGGCGATAAATCACCAACCACAGATAGTCCAAGGGATTGCATGCACGTTTGAAATCCGACGATGGGAAGCAAGAAAACCAGCCCGCCCGTACTCCAGAAGGATACAGGACTCTACGGTACACAGCATGGCAAATGAACATAGGCAGGTGGCCACCATCATCGACAGTGAACGCCAATAGAGGCGAGACACCACCCGTGAAGGTAATCGTAAGACGGAAAGAGTGAAATTTGCCAAAAGGCGATATATGAACCTCACATCAAGTATCTTTCTTACGCCACAGCAATAACAATTGCAGTTGGCAGATGTATTTCGCACACGTGAAGACGTGTGCTAAACAAGCAACCTGTGTTCGAGACACGTTTCGTGTCAGGCAGTCTCTGTCTTTGTGATTAATTACAGCTTAATTGTAAACTTGTAAGTTTGAACGCCTGAGCTATGTATCTTAGTTTCCAGCTGCAACATTATCAAAATCCATCACGTTGAAATTGCAAGTACATTGCCTTAGAATGTCAGGCATTGAGTTACGTTTGAATGAATATTACTAGAAGCTATCGGATTGTAATGTGACGCTGCATCAGAGCAGCAATATCTCAATCTAAGGGCGCCAACAGTTATCAGTAAGCTGATTACAAGAACTGTCGGTGATTTGGTTCAGAGGGGATAGCAAAGAACAAATCAATAATTTCCTGCCCACATTGAAAGATACTTTCAAGCCAATTATCACTCCGCCGGTGAGCCTGCAGAAACATTTATCTCCGAAATCCGTTCACATACAGTATCCATTGCAATGAATGCATGAATAGTGAGACACTGAATTCAAATCAAATGATACAATGGAAAGGGCGCAGATAATAATCGTACAGCACAGGTGTTACATGACGCATCGCAGTAAATTATGGGTACATATAGTAGACAGACAGACTATGATTCATGTACACGGGTTGAGGAACGGGTGAAGTGATTCAGATCCTATAACACTAGCGAATTCTTGAACGCGTGAAGCAGGTGCACACGATCGATCGCATCTCCTGGGTCATGTTGATTTCCAACATATAAGATATCTCCTGGACGCATGCGGTTCGACAAACCAAAATATTGAAAGATGATGTCAGATATGTCGGCGCTTGGTTCAGCAGTCTCGGTGTCCTCTACAGAGTGTGGACTGCTTCCCTTTGCCCGATACTGTCGGCCTCTCGTTGCCATCATGCAAAGACTCAGGAGACATCTTTTGCGAAGTGCTGTTGACGTCATCAGCGCAAGCAATCAAACAGGCACTTGGGACTCACTCAATCTCGGAGAAAGATATGGAATCATAATCACCATCCGACGCAAGGTCTCCAATGCATGATCAAGAGCTTGGTTTGTCGTGGACTCTGCGACTTCAGCATCGATGTACCGTGAAAGCTCCGTGAGGTGCATACAGGAATAATTATAAAAGTGTCCTCCTGTCGCAAATGACGGTATCGGTGTATACACGGCATGGACCATCCCAGGAGGAAGAATCCTAATATAATATGTAACATCAGGGCTGAACATTGCGAATAATGATGCGCTTACAACAGATCTCCGGGACGGAGTGTGATCACCTCGCCTTCACAGTTCCTTTGTAACCAGTCCTTGTGTACAGGATAGTTGGTTAGTTTCACTGCAAGTTCCTGAAGATGAATGCGCTGGGTACTGCGACTCTTCAATCGGAAGATGACCCAGAGCTTCAGGCCGGCTTCCATCCTCACCCAGGTCAACGTCCCTTCAGCATCGTGATGTGGATAAGTTAGGAACCCTGCATGATGAAGTAATCCCCATCCCTTGATGGTGAAATTTTCGGGATGGACCTTTGAGATAATAGGGACTGAGTGCGTTGTTTGATTCCAACCATGTACGAGGCCATGATCAAGGATCCTTATTCTCAGTGTTAGGAATGCGTGAAGAACATTCCAAAATGTTGCGACGCACTTAAGACCATCAGGGAGGGATACATGGGCAAGTGGTATGTCGAGGATGCATTGTATGCTCGTGGTATCATTTATCGATTCGATGAATGATCCGATTGAGCCGGTGATGGTAGGATGAACATGATCTTCGCATCGCTTCTTCATATCTATAATACTATCAATACCGTCGCATATAATGATGCGCATGAACGTATACCATGAATGCAAACTGGACGATGTGGTGAGATTCCAAATACAGCATCGAGGTACTCGAACGTCAATGTCTTTCCCGCTGGATTGTGAGGTACTCCTTTGATAACTACACATTTATTCATGCCGAGAATTTCCTGTAGCTGGGCATCGACACGAGGAGCCTGGCAAATCCCACCAGGTGCCATATGGACATGGGCGGTGTTGTTCGTATTCGATCGTGGGAATTGCGCCATGAATTTAATGAGGGGGATATCAACTTCGTCGCAGAGATTTTTATTGGACTCATTGCAAATCGTAGGAAGAACGGTCCGAAGTCCATCATTCCATGTAATTGTCTTGCTAGTTGCTGGAACCTGAGTTCCAAGCACACCAATGGTAAGATCGAGCTGTTCATCTGACGACATTGTGGTGGTTGAACGCAACGAGCAAGCTATGACAAAGGAATACTGATTCAAGGTCAGAATCGCTGAGATTATATAATTCTGAAATACAGGGTGAAACAAATACAGTCCAAACGTGCATCACGGCTTTGTCCGTTACGAGCTTATTTGTTTCGTTGAATTTGACTTTCAGTAGGTTAATTATGCGTGTATTCAAAGCCTATTTTCTATTTTGCGCATCATGCTTCGTACACGATGACATTTCGACTATTTCCAATTCCAGGTCAGCATAGCAAGACAGGTGAAGACGTCGATTACCATATATGCATACTGTCCATTCCATGATCGTGAACAACGCAACGCACACGAGTGTATGTATTTCAACAGAAAGTGAATGCATCACGTTCGTAAAAACATAGATCACGAATCTATGTACAACGTGAAAGAAATTGTCATGTCATCGACGGGTCATCCTGTGTATCCAGTCCTACCTGACTGATTCACTTTTGTTACTCACTAGGATGAATTACTTACATCACAGTCATCGGAAGGTTTGGACGAAGCGGTGGTGACACTATGTTCGGAGCAGGATGGTGCAGGAACATCTGGGACAGACGCATTTTCCATCGACAATGTTGCTTCAGGAACGGGAGTGTTGCCTCTTTGCACACGTCCAGGAACTATCGTGTCCTCAATCGTAGAAGAAAGTGTGTGCGTTGTATGTATTGGAGTTGTGATCGTGGCATGTTGAAGATTAGGCGATGGGGTACCGCGGACCAAGACGACCGGAGTTGGCGAATTCAGATTTTCTTCCACTATGGGGATATCATCCCATGCGTCAATGATCACTGATCCGTTGTCCTGCACACTGCTGCCTTGTGAGATTTGTGTCGATTCAGGCAGTGACGAAGAGGATATGAAGCCCGTCCCGTCGAAATCAATTGACGACTGGACAGGAGATGCTGAACTGATGTCGCATGCAATCCCATCTTTTGCGCGCTTCACTGGACCTCTACCACCATCCTTCTAATGAACTGTCAACTGCAGGTTGAACACTACGACGCTATCACTTACCTTTGGTGGGGACACATGGGATAGTGTTCTCTTACGCTTTTCTAACCTCGTGATAACCGATCTTGTGCCGTTATTGAGAGCAGTGGACATTTCATCGATCGCCATAGAATCTAAGGCTTGTGCAACATCGGTTGCCTCGAGATCAGGTGATCCGACTGCATCATCATCCGATCCTATAGCATCATCATCGGCTCCAACTACTTCCATGTCTGTATCGTGCGTGATTCCCGCCCAGGAATCATACCTGTTGTCGGTCTTCAAAGCTAGCCATGGAATGTCCATATCAGACATCGTCCTTAATGCCTTATGAGCGGTTGAAAATATTGAACTGGAATACGCACTTTGCATCGACTGCTGGGGGAGAGCCGCAGGGCCAGAGTCGTGGATTGCTCTGTCCTACGTCTGACTCAGTGATTACCTTGCCGAGTGCATGGAACATGTGACTCAAGAATCGAGGCCTCGTTTCCATGTGTACGATAGCAGTGTACAGGCGCTCCATCCCAACAGCCTCGAAGAAATGATCATCGTTATCAAACACCATCGTGCGTGGATTCCCCGGAATGACAAGACCGTCGACGTCTGAATCAAGGTCGACATCTGTGAGCTGGCGAAAGCGAACAAGCATCCAACTAGCAAGCTTCAAGAAAACACGAGAGTTTCCGTGCTCGAACGCAGTCCTTGTCCACGTCTCCCAGCCCTCTAGAATAGGTGGAAGTGAGATTCTATCGTAGCCCTCGTCGTCCACCTTGTATATTTTGTATCATGTAACGATGACGCATAGATATCAAAGCTCACCGATAACGTTCTTGAGTCCTCCTCACGGACAGGGTCACTTGTCAGTTAATCTATTGCTGTGTCACAGAATAACTCACTTCTGCAATCCCTACGACCGGAACATCCACAAGAGGCGCCTCGTTGTCATCATCCTCAGACTCCAACGGAACGGATGAAGCCTTCTTTTTCCCATATACCTTCGTGATCTTCGATTTGCGGACTTGTCTTCGAGGCTTCGGTAACTTCTTCGCGTCTGCAGTTTTTTCAAAAAGACTGGCTATTTGGTCGCTGGGACTCTGCTTGCATACATCAATAATCGGCCCGCAGAGGATGTTGCGTGCCAACCTCGTCAGCCGATTCAATTATATCTGCTCTCATTTTGCTACTCCCTTGAACGATCGCAGATATCTTCCGACGTCCATCGTTATTGGAATGTTTCGATTTCATACCTGACTTTATGTGTGTCAGAGAATTATCAACGCCTTCGACATGGTGCTGGATCACATCCGATGATGCCTGCGACTGTGCAGACGATTGCGTAGTCCTTGCCCTTGGTCGTGTGCTGATCGAATGTTGAGATGATTGATCCACAAGATCGACCGCAGCAGCCGCCGTTCTTGCCTTCTTTGTCATGTCCTCCGGTTTATCAACTCCTATGCGTTTAAGCGTCTCAGATATCATGTCGTCCACTGTCTTTTCGTGTTCGAACGACCCTCCGCATAGGTTGTTGCCTTTTATACAGAACGTGTTATGCAATCGTTCGCCGGTCACTTGAAGTTACGCAGAATGACCTTTAGTAGAGATGTGATACAATAGACAATGACGCACTTACGATCCTGAACCTTTTTGAAGCCCTTTTTCTCTTTGAATTGAACCCAAGTTCGCTTCATTTCATTCAGCGCCGCAGTCTGTTTCTCCTCTGTGAATGCATTATCATATAACGCAAGCGCGATGTGATACTCCAGATACGCTGAACGCCACTTGTTGGTGGAGCTCGACGGATCAGCCTTAGCCTCGGCATGGAATGCACTGACGATCTGTGCAAGATATCCTACGAATGATATGTAGAGTATCAACATATCGTCGACCGGTTTGGACTTCGGAAGAGTTTTGAGGATCTGCCCGGTTTGCTGATACAGGCGAAGTTGATGTATTATAAGACGCAGTTGATCTAGGCACTTTGGGGATACCTTGACCTAATAATAATGTCTGTGATGCTTCAGAAAACCTGAATCAGCGCAGGATACTCACCTTGTCGTCCATATCGCCAATTCTCAAGATATAGATATTGTCTTCCAAATCCAGCGACACGATATAAGTGAGAAGGACGTTGACCATAATTGCTGTACGAGGTTTGACATCCAAGAAAATCGGTGCTGGTGTTTGGATTGACATTGTTGCAACGTAAGAAGTCGTCGACCTTAATGAGTTTTGATGCACATTGGTCACCAGGCGCCACATATCCTGATATGGTAATATTTACCTACAGTTCAAAATCAACAGCACGTGCTGAGCGTGTGAAAGGCAAACAAACAATTTACACAACGGACAGTATCAATCTTTGTTCTCAACGATGCTCTCGGTAGAACAATTTCCTGTCAACGCGACACAAGTGAGTCGGATACCTGCGTCCGGAAGTGCACCTCAAGCACTGCAGCCATCAGTGCGCAGTCGTGCCCGCAGGACGCAGGTACAGCCTGCAGGAGTGGTCAGCACTCGTCCACAGCGTGCGAAACGTTCTCCCACGGATGCTAATTCCTTGAATGCGCCCTACGTCAAACTCACACCAATTCTCGATGATGATACGAACGGGATGATGATTGACGAAGTAGATGAGATCAAGCCGAGAAAATATGATGCAGCTGAGACGATCAAGGCACCGACTATTGTATGTTCCGACTCACGTTGTATTCGAAAATCTTTGACATTTTTGGAGTGCTGTATCTATTGTCACGATGTTGGATCGTATATATGGAAATGTACGGGCAAAGGTTGCGGGAACCCTGTGTGCGTCAGTTTGGATGAAGGGGACCATGGATGCGTGGATGCATCTCCTCATCCGGTCACCGGTCGTGTCGTGGTGACTGAGACATCATTTCTCTGCCCTCTATGCCATCGCGAAAATGGCATCGCTATGAACGTGAGTCAACATGTTGAATGGATCGTCAAAATATTATAAAAAATGGATTGGAACAGTACAGGGTTCAAGGATACGCTGTTCAACAAGAGTTTTTACATCGTAACTATTTCCCATTGCTTGGCATCTTCTTGTCCTGGAGTGGCTTCCGTACCCCATATGCCTCAAATATAATCAGATCGACGCTTGAGGAGCATTACAAACGAGACAAAAGCAGGGTGCATATACCATTTTGCATAGGCTGAGTCAATAATTCTGATCATGGAGGCAGATGCGCATCGAAACGCGTTCCCTTAAAGCTGGTAATAATCGTCCGAGCGCAATGGACCCATCCTTCGAATGGTTCAAAAACATTAATCATGAGGGAAATCTTTTGATATTTGTCAACACCCATTCTGATACCAAAACGGGTAATCTTGTGGCGTCTGGTAATGCGCAAAATCCGGAGTCCGTGCCGATTCATGAGGTAAGTCGATTCATATATAATGATATATATCTGGCAATGACCGAGTAATCGTATAAATTTGAAATGTAGCTTCTATCGAACTACATTGGCGATGACAACTTGAAGGTCGCAACACAAGCCATTGGTGCTATCAACAACGATTCAGGGGTTGGGCCATGCGTTCGCGGGCTCGTCATTTGTGCCTGTGGATCCACGGGAAGGGTGGCCGAAAGTGCTATGTTGTTAAGGCGCATTGTCGAAAGGTGGGTAATGTCTTCATGCAATCGTCCAACGTTAGATTCAAACATGCAAGACATCAGTGACATCTTTGATTTCATCCTGACATTTGCAGGCGTATCAACGATGGATTCGGTCGTGGTCCCTGCGTTGAATCGGTTCATCGAAAACGTTTACATATATGACATGAAGTTCTGGGACGCACTGGAGGAATCGTTTGGGGAAGACAGACACGCCCTCAACCAATCACCAGTATTTCTCTCCTTCTCTGAGACGCACGTCGGGCAAAATAACGTGCGACTACGCGTGGTTTATACGAGAGTCCTGGCATACTCCAATCTCAAGGACAGGAGGCCTTGGGGGCTAGACATATACCGATGTTTGAATCCAGACTGCCAAGCCCCTGCATACAACATGAGCTTCACTCGTCATGGAAAGCAGTTTTATGGGAAGCACTGGTTGACCACAAAAATAAAGTATGCATGTTTGGAGTGCAAAACCGTGGAGAAGGCCATTCCATGTCCAAGCTGGATACACGCGGCTCAGTCTCAGAACTATGGACGCGTATGGTACGAGTGGCCACTCACCTCCGAGCAAGAACGGGAAATCGGCATCATATCTTGATCGCATTTCGATGCATATATATTCTGCGTATCATACTTTGTGTCATGGATGTTTTGTCAACCCAGGTCTTGCTTCTACAGATTCACTTACGCGTTCCTCACTCAGTCGTATACGTCTCGCGCATCGTTGACCACTATCTCATTTGGCTCTTACTACATGAAAAAGTAGTCATTCGAACCGATGTAATACCAATCGTGTGGAGTGTAATCTGAATCATTGCGGAAAGCATTGATAGGCACTGTGTCACTACGTACATCAATCTGTGCTAGCTGTCTCGGCGCCTGTCTTTTCCTTCATCACAAATGCTAGCATTCGAAGTCCAGGGGTGTATATGTCAGTTGCATGCGACTGAAACACTCGTAGGAGATATCGAATCACTGTAGTCACATATTTTACGTTGTCCTGTGTCTGTGGGGTATACCATATCATCGTTAGCTTGAGAAAATGATAAACTAGCGAATCAAGATGTTCACCCAAATTCCGTGCAACATTGAACGCACTGATTCCTTGTCCGATAAGGCGTCGGTTGAGAGTCGAACAATTACATAATGCGCCTGCTCATCCAAAACTTAGCATAGCACCATCTTGGACAGAAGGTCTGCCTACAAATGGGGAAAGCACTGTGTCTGCGGTCTGACTGTTAAGTGCTTCGCACTCAATCGCAATATCCTTGAGCCATATGTCAATTGACATTAGTGATGCTGCCTTGGTACTCATAGCCTGTGACAAGCGTTCACTGCGACGGAGGATTGCCAGATGTCGAACGATAGCCAACCACATATCGTGATTGGTTTTAATCGTTAATCGGAAGAAATTCAGCCCGTGTGGGTCCATGAGAAAGGACGTCATCTATGCAGTGACATCAGTCCAACTCAAGTACATATTTCAATGACGTACAAAAGGCATGACAGATTGAGCACCCATTTGAGACTCGCGAACCATGTCTTGAATGGTGTACTTTAGAGATTCCACCGGGTGAGAGGATGCATTTGCCTTCCCTTTAAGTACTGGCCGTTGTGTAGCGAATACGACTGGCCGTCCACGCTTCAATGGGCCCTGTCTTTGTAGGGTGACTGCAGGGGTTGTGGTTGTGCGAGATTGCTTCGCCTGACGCAATCTCGACTTCAAAGGAGGTGATATAGTCGTATCACTGATATCCAATGCTGTGTCGCGGCCGTGAACCTGATGCCATTCATGCAATGGATTGAAGTCCATTATTAGACTTGAATCATGAGATGAGCTCGATGTATGAGAGACATCTGCATTTGTAGTAATCGATGCTTCCAGATGAGCTGACACATTGTTGGATATGTCACCAGAATGATCGCTGCGATTTTCTGGCGACAAAAAGTATCCAGTATCATCCTGTCGCGATAGATCAATCATTCTGCCGATGCCAGACAGGGGATTGACACGCACGCATACAATATGACATTCATTGAAGTCTTCTTCATGGTGCTGTGAACTTGAATAACCGCACTCTGTATCTATGGGGGCTACATGAGTGGGTTGGTAAGGGCCAGGAACATGAAGAACGGGCTGAGGTGAACCAACGACGGAGTCGTCCATGGCGGGATCATCTTGTATACGAGTGTGTGTTTGTACACCACAATCGGACATTGCACGACTGCTAGATGGTTGGCCTGTGTGTTCGTCAATGCACTCGCATTGCACGCCAGCATTGATCACATTGCGTGGTTCAAGTTGCATATCAACGTCCTGCGGTGTTCCAGTATTACCTATCCTCCACTTTATATCAACACTCATCGATTGTCCTGAGGAAACCCATGACTCTTTGACAATTGGATCCATAGACCCAAACGTTGGGTCGTAGTCGACCACGCATTCCTTGCCCAGGCCTGATGTGTAGAGCGCGCGACCAGCAGTAATGAAAAATCTTGCCATTGGACTACGGTCCACCCTTAACTCCTGGCATGTCGATATCATCTCTATCATACCGAATATCTCCAAGAACTCTTCTGTACTGCGTGCTGTCAGGAGCAATCCATTAGCAATCATGTTCTCCAAGGACTCATTATAATCGAGGCCTTGAATTTCTCGAAATCGCATCACCACATGACTTGCTAACAATCGTCCAAAGCCACCGATGAAGATTTGACGTGCATCGCCATGAAGAGTCCTGAGGGCCATTCTACGACATTTCTTATCCAAGGGCAGTGGAAAATTTGGGATAGGGTTCGACGTCGGCTGCTTGAAGTCATATTATATATATATATATATATAAGATGTGTTGTATGAGATACGTACCACATCAACAAGCATCATCTCAGCAACTGAATGGCCCGACTCAGGTGGACTCATTTGGTCGCTGGCTGCATCAATACAGGCATCAACCATATTGAGTAGAGACTGGATATCTTCCCCTCCACCAGATCCCTGTAATGCTCCGCAAAAATCTTGCTCGTTGCATTTTTTCTTGTGATAGGACGTCCAATCAACTGGCTCATATTATCAGGAGCGAATATACTTAAACCTGATACAGCACGCACGAAACACCAGTATATCTGGACACTGCCCATTCTTTAAGCCTTCAAAGGTAACTCCATGAGCGGTGGCCAAGGTCGTGCGACACTCGTCGTGAAAGCCAGAGCCTGTGTGGTCTAACCATAGGTAATAGTCTAGTGCAGCAGATCTAAAGTCTGTTCGTAGTGCATCTGAACATACACCAGCATCGTCCAGGAATGCAATCCGTACGTCATTCAAATATCGCATGACTGAAAGATACGTATTTCGGTGGCGAGCAGCCTCTTCACTGCGTGCGTCCTGTAGGTGTTGCACGACCGTTCTGTATATGCCGAACTTCTTGTTGAGGGCGTAAAGGGGTAAACGATAGTGGGGAGCAATTTTGCATCCCTTGTGTGACTGCCCAGTGAGTTTGAATGAACACTCTCCATCGACGTCTTGGATGGTCCCTTTCACTTTCAACAACTGCTGCGCATCGGCTGAGCTCCATTGACGAAAGTGACATGATGGATTCATGGGGGGAATATGTTAACGAGTGGGCTAGACCAACAGACCATCATATATTCGATTCCGCTGAACTCGGAACCGATATTCCTTGTATTGCACTAGCCAACAATCTTATTGACTAAATGGTGTGTCATATTAGGGTCGGATACAAGGGCTCTAACCCCATTGCGATGCCAAGAGACAATTCAGCTTTCGATCGAACATGGGATTAATCACATGGGCCACCGCGATATAATTCATTCCACAAATGTAATGACTTGATCTGAGACGAATCATAGTGTAAGAAATGAAATTAAGTAATGACGGTAAATATTGCTAGATCACTGCCTTTGTACAAGTCAAGCAGTAGTATCTGGGAATGATCTCATCCGTTGCTGGCAGAACTGCTTTCTGCATAATGTCCTTCCATCCATCAGGTAGTCGTCCAAGGGTCCTCGCCTGCTCGATCAGCGCGATTGCCTGTACTATGAGCGATCCATTCCCAACTATTCCACATGATCCTCCTCGTCGAATTGGCATGGTCAATAGTGACATGAACTGTGGGTCAAAGTCGATATCACGAAAATTGGATGGCAGGCCTGCCTTCACATTGCTTCTTATCTGACGACAATGAGTTGCAACACATGTCTCATTAAACCACCGCTGACACTTCCTGCAGTATCGCTGCAGGTTTGTTGGTGAAGAGAACACGGGATCACATTTATTGCATCCGCACTTTGACGCATTCTGAGAGTTCTGTAGCTGTCGTCAGCTTGAGATCAAAGCAAGAGGTGAAAAGAGGACAGAGAGAGAGGCGTACGCTAACGTTCACCCCTTCCATATAAACAACATTCCTATGCTTTGAGAACTCGACGTCAATGGTCCATCGATTGTACAGTGTCCTTATAGGTATCTGTGGCTGCTCGAGATCACCTTCATTGTATGGCAAGATGGTCGCATGATCTACAAGTATGTAAATGTAATCCATCAATAGTCCGTGAATCTCGAAGAACGTACCCTCGACGCAACGTATATCTACTACAGACGTGTGATTACTGAGAACAAGCTCATATTCACCCACACATCTCGCAAGACTAAATGAACGCATTTGTCAAAATATTATTTCAGTGATTGATGGTAAATATACAAACGTACTCGACATCCTCATCTTCCAAATCCACCTTTCTGTAATACCACTGCATTTCGAGCCACACGTCCTTCAAGTAAGGTGTAAAATAAATGAGGTCTAGTCAAATAACGAATGTACTTGCCTGTACTTGTCGCCCAGTCTTCAGGTAGATGTCGGCTACCTTGCCATACCAATAAGAAATCGCTGGTAGACTACCATCTTGCATTGGCACTGCTCTTTCATCGAGGGGAAATATTGCGAGACTGCACAAAGTACTTCAGGATCACCCTCCAGTATACAGACCAATTCGTACTCTTCCCCTACTCGAATGACCATCCGGTTATCATCAATATCATCAGAGTTGTCGTTAGTAGTGTGGACCCCTGTCAAAACAAGGTATGCGATCATAAATCAGAAATTAAAAGACCACCAGTGGGAAAAGATTCAGCGTACATTCTAAAGACGTGCATCGCCTCAATCGCTGAAGCTTGGGATGACTATGGCGCATAGGGGTTAGTGTTCTCCTTCCCCCTGTGCGGGATGCACAGCTGGAAATTGATGGTCGGTGGGACATAATAGTTGGGGTGGAACAGCAAGTGCTAGCAAGATGGTCGAGCACTTTTTAAAAACCAATAGGTACCTTGCAGCGGGAGCTATTGTACGTCCTCTAAAGATGTAATAATCTGGTGAACGGATCAAGAAAATAAGACAAGGGTTGCCCTTACGACATTCTATGCAGTGTTACATCACATAAATGATGAAATCGGACTTCAGCTCATTGAAAGTCAATTCTCCATTCAATTAAACCGAAACCTTAAGATGGCCGAATAATGCAGAGGAAATGGCAGGATGGGGTCAGTAAATCGACAGGAATTGTATATAGAATACGCGATCGCCTAGTTATTACATCGAGGAACAATTCGCTTCATTGCGGCCCATGCACATGGACGTTATGGGGAATTTCGGGCTGAACATCATATAATAATATTTGCAACAGTGTCCACCACTCACACAACAGCACACAGCGTCTAATGGACGACGACGAGTCTGTCGACCTTCTCCAGCAAATATTTGAATTGAAGATCCTGGATTGGGATACGGAGGGTTCAATCATCCCAGAGACTAATGTTAATCAAGCTGTCAAGAGTGCGTATGAGGACGCATTAAAGCCTACTGGCAATATTGGAGCACCATCTGCAGGCATAGAACGATGTCATATTTTGGACCAGGGGAAGGATGAGATCGCAAAACAAAAGCCAAAGCGAGGCAGGCCACGAAAGAGAGTTGTTCAACGTCGTGAGTACATCAACTGATCCCCTGTTTACATATCAAATTGAGACTCTTATGCAGGTGTAAAGTTGGTACCCATACTCCCACCTGATGGACCAGCTCAGAACATCAAGCATACAAATGCACGAGTCATCCGTGCTACAATCAGTCCGGTCCCAGAGAGTGTGTCACAAGACGTCGATGTGCTTCGTGATAGCCTGACTGATCTACACCTCGCGAGCACAATAGACGAGGAGGATGAGCAATGGAAGATGGCTGATGATGAAGAGTCGCATACAGCTGACGTCTTGCAGCAGATCATGTTATCTGGCATCCTGGATTGGAGCCCACTAGAAGACGATAACTCAAATAGCGATGATGATGTGAGGGCACAGTCAAAGAAAAGAGATGTCAGGGGCATACCAAAACAGACGGATAATTCAAAGGTACATAAACAACGCCGTCCACGTGGACGACCAGCACGAAAAGCGACTACACATCGTGAGCTTCTATAATTGACCTCTATCCGTATTTACTTGACCATTGGTGTAGGACAACGTCAAGAGGTAATGGTATCAACGGATAAGATATCATCATCCAAGGAGCTGCGGAATCGTAATTCTAGGTGCATCATCCGTGCTACAAGCAAACCCGTCCAGGACGACAAGCATGAATATGTGGGTCACTGCGAGCGTGACAATGACAATGACCTATGCATAGAGGAGGATGAACCAAGAAATGGTCGATCAAGTAATAGGCGACTCAGGGGACGTCCGAAAAGGCGCGTTGTGCGTGCCAGAGAGACCGGTCAGTGATATTCGAAATACTGATTGAATCTACATGTCAACGATATCGAATATGCAGCGTCCAAACGGGCAGTCGTTCATGAATCACATTTAAGTGAATTTCAATCGAACACCCATCGTAAGCATCTTACACGTTTTTACTTGCCGTGCATGTGTTGTAACATCTTTCATCAGGGAGTCCAACACACTCTCGCAGCAGAATACCTGATGATGAGTATAGGTTATCTCCACCACCAGAGGCCATCGGTCAATCGCCTTCGCGTGAAGCCTCACCACCTACGATACCTGAACTGACAGTCGAGGAAATCGCTTGTGAGTTCATCATAAATTTTACATAGGATAAAACACTTATTTTATTCGCCCCAATCACAGCCTCGTGCAATGGCCAGACCGGGTGTTTGGACATCTGTTTTAGACACTTGGGCAAGTCTCGGGTTGAATGAGTGGCTTGAGGCCACAGTAGCAGACTTTTATTTGTCCCATGTGTGGTATGAGCTGCTTGGCAGATCACGCATGAGATACATGAATATGCATACAGCAATGGCGGCCGAGATGGAGGATGAGGAAGTGGAGCTCTTCCGGAGGAGCTCTTTTATACCTCCTGATGGGCATATGTCCTATTGTCCCTGTTTGGATTCGTAGTCCACCACTCCGATCATTTCTTTACAGTGATTTTTGACTATCAGCGACAAAAGGCCATGTCCTGGGTCGCCATATATCCAACGACGCGATGGACATCGACGGACTAGATCCAGACGACTGGAACGAGTGGAGAGGACCGGATTATTGGAGGAGAATTGGTGCCCTTCATGGCTGGGGCACAGGGGATGTCGCTGATGTGTCTGTGATATCAATGGATTGGGAGCAAAATGGAGTAGATTGCGGTCCAATTGCTTGCTCCGTGCTCGAGCAATGCCTCAGCGCTGGATTAGATGAGCACGGTAAACTTGCCAGTGTTTCAAGTTCAGTGCGGCCACAAGCTGCGCATCCAGATCTTGGGTCTGATTGCTGGTCGTGTCAGGCTCTGTTGTAGCGACTATCTCATGCTCCTTGATGTCGCACGAGAGGAATGGCGAGAGGACGAGCTGCCAGGCGAAGATATCATCAATGCGATTCAGAATGGGGCGGCACCAGGCTGAATTGCCTAAAGCTCCTGCGGAAATTGACCGTTGTTAGCGCAACCTGCTCAATATGTCAACGTCCCGTGGTAAATCAGGAGATGGATCACCCCTCACACAATGGCAAGAATGGAGTTCGAACCCCAGTCGATCAGGAGGATGGTTGTGACGCTGAACGGAGTGATGAAGAGGATTCCATGGGTACGACCCTGCCTACGGGTAGAAAGAAGAACCTCGCGAAGCTTTTCAAAGGATACCACCGACTCACAACGCTCTGTATCCGCCTCAGCATCTCGTAGGAGAGTGAAAGATTGGCATCTTGGAAGCAACAAACGATTTCCACGTCCCATTGCACCGCGCTCTCTGGCTGCATATGCAGGTCGGAGGTGGATTCCCGATGACCGCACGTTCGACGATTATGAAGGTGGACCAACGATCGAGATGTTAGTAACTCCCAGGGAAATCAATCAGGCGATGACATTCCAGGCGGGAGGAATCCAGATCTCCACTGCTTGGGTGCACTGGGTTGATCATGGCTACCGCATCACCCCTAGCTCATTCCATATATTCTATCAATGCGACCCCATAGCCACCATGGACCATGTCATGCCCATTGGCACAACCGACTCCCATGATCCTTCAAGTCAGGTTCCAGACCGCGTAACAGGCGCATATAGTCTGGCTCGACTAGGGTCAGATGGGGGAGCACGTCAAACGCACGTCGCAGATGTAGAAATTCTGGCTGCATCTGAACTGATCGACTCTGCCCAACATGATCCCCCACTCCATCATCAATGTAGGTTCGGACACAACGCCTTTGTTCGTGGCTGCACCAGTCATCGTTATGGCGATGGCACGTCCTTGTATGTCGACCTTGAACGAGATTCCGTTAGATTTTCAGAAGACGAAATAGAGATTTCTTTAGACATAGACAGTATCATTTGGACCACGAAGGAGTTCCGATGCATGGGGTCTGTGGGGATCTATCTCACTCCGTCATTTCAAACGAAACCTGGCATATTCAAGCACAATCACACATATGTCGACATCACAATTCCACAGTCAGAATCAGATGCCAGTGCGCCCGGTGGTAGGACAGAATGGTTGTCAAAACGATTTCCGATGTCTGCCATCCCTCATACCGGTATTGGGCGCATATCCTCGGCTTCATCGACACTCAATCTATATATCGCATTTCCTAGGATGATACATCAACACCCAGTAAATGGGCGAAGAATCACGCTGATGCCAAAGGAAACTTTGGACATCTTTTGGGATAGAGTGCTACTTCCATCCATAGGTGACTGCACTGATGTTAGTTGGGCGCCTTACCTTAAGCACACATTGGAGGAGGCACGATACAAGGCTAGAGGTGGTGATGGACGAAAGGCTGGATGGGGCGCTCCAAAGACAATACCACTGTCGAATGATGACTTCATGGATGTGCAGGAGCGCATGGAAGCTCGCATACGCGATGGAGAGGGCGAGCTGAGCATGTATGGGTCGTCTTTCTTTATTCTAGAAGGAAAGGGAATCAAGCTCCTTACCAAGGATGGTCAGCGAGGGCGTTTCGAAGGGCCGGAAGAGGCACTGCGTCGAAATCTGTCCGACCTTGACTGGCCATACATGATGAACAGGAGGCATGGCGAGCTGCTGGTGGACGTGGGGATCTCATTTACGCCTCACTCCCCAGATGTTCCAGTGGTAGGAGTGTGGAGATTAGACGCGTTGGAGAAGAGGGGTGAAATACATCATCACAACACGCTCTCTAGATATGGGGCAATGCAGGCCGAGATGCAGCAGGAGAGATCTCAACAAACCCACATCGCATTCAGGAGCACCTACAACCTCTACTATGAGTCAATACGGACGAACAACAACCAAGCGAATTTCGCATCTGACAGTGATGCATACAAGCTGTCCCCATCTTACATGGCTGAATGCTTCGAAATCGCAAAGGTTGTCGATGGTTGCAAGGATAAAACATATGGTGTTAGGGACGAGTATAGGGTCAGTGGACATGCAGCCAGAATAATGCTGGATAATATGGAAAGCAAGGTCGGTAATCTGCATTTCATGTATGATTGGAATGCGAGCTGAATATCTCTGGCGATAATTTACATGTAGGCTAGAGAATACCTGCAGTCAGATCCAATCCTGTGGGTCCCATCCAAAATCTGGTTCGAGCTTATCAGGCGGCGGGTGCGGGAGATTCAGAGGACCCAGATATCCATCGTCAAAAAGAATCCTCCAAATCTCGGGATTCTTACTGGCTTGCTAAACCACATGCTTCGCTCAACTACATCAACCCCTATCGTCTATGACTTTCACGTCCGCGAATCCCTCGCCCTCCTTGAATATAGAAATGTCCTCGAGACAGCAGGGATGTTTTTCTTACAGGAATTCGATTTGGACAGCGATACCTGCCTGGAGGAGGTCCAGCAAATCGATGACGTGAATGTCCTGGCCCTGATGGGCGTCAATGCAAAGGCTCAGAGGGATAGAGCAGTAGGAAGGATGCATGCATGGCGAAGTTCTGAGTCAGAGCTGGAGGACTATCCCATTGGTCGGACACCGACATGGACCCGACTTAAGGCAGCCCTTGCAAACTCACCTGCAATGATTATGAGACCATGGATGTGGTCGTCCAGGTTATCCAACACTCAACTCTCTGTCGGACGTTTGATCGTCATGTTTACGAGGCAGATGTGGCTTATGCTGACACCCGAAGTATTCAAAGGCATCCAACCCCACCCAAACTCGCTCAGGAGGCCATGAAGTGCTGGACGATAACAAGCATCGATGATACGCTCAGTGCAGTTGCCTTCGAAGCGTGCAATGCTGGGCTGCATGACAGTACAGGTGTAACTCCAGGTCGCATGGGTCCAAAGTCGAGAACATTTGCGGACAGGTGCTCGCTATTCTTTCCTGACCCTGATGCCTCCCATAAAAACAACACTCAGTGGTCTACGCTTTGGGAGGGAGATGGATACATCGCGGAGTTTCACAAGATAATGAAGGCAATGGCGGAGGATCAGCAGAAATTGCTCAAGAAAGGGTTACACGAAGTATTTTCAGACTTGCACTGTCTTCCTGCAAGCAGTCAGAGAGTGTGGATACAGAGGAACGATGCCATATTATTCACAACAAATCCTGCATTTTACAGGATCGACTGTGTTGGAAGGGGGGCAGAGAGTCAAAGGAAAGCCCCAAGAGCACGTCGTGCCATGAAGTTGATCAAGGGCAGGCGCATATTTGCAGCTGACCTGATGGACTCACAGCCATTCGACACGGATGGCAATGTCCGGAGAAAGACAGCGAGGCAAAAGCGTCGGGAGATTCAGAAGAAGATGACGATGGCCAAGAGAAACAAGAGGGTTCCCCCTCCCCCACGTCCTCGGAAATCAAGGCCATTTCCTATGGACATAGGAGAATCAGTGGAGAGAGATGAATGAAATGGATTGTCGATTAGCTCAGAATATACATCGTATTTATTATGCTCGTCAACCTAATAGAAGTAACACTGTATGGCACATAGTTATGGCTACATCACCCAGAGTAGAGGATCAACGTCTATCACATGGTTCAAAGTCACATCATCCGTTGTGCCTATCTGTAGTCATATTTATGTGCCATCATCGAGCATGTTTGGGAGCGCACCATCGCATTTGCTTCTTTGGGAGTGCCTGGGAGCACGACATTGGGTCAAATCCCCTTCCCCTCTTGATGTCGTTATATTCTGCGTATCTATTTCTTATCGTGTGGATTAACAAACAGCGATGCCCTTCCGCATTAATTTCTCAGCGTTTGTCGCATCAATTATTTTAATGGAACGACATACCTTCCTTCGGTTGTGGCGATTGTAATATTTCATCGACTAACTCCCAGACCAACATGCTTCCCTGGCCTAGCTTGGCCCAGCATGTCCATTCCTTCGGCAACAGCACGACTCGAGGATCGTTCATGCTATATTTGTTCAGCCATGATATTACCTCTTTGTGTGGCTCCATGACTCGTAACCCAAGCACTCGCAGCTGTACATTACTGAGAAGGCGCTTCACAGACTCCGCGATTGACTTCTTGGTTATAAGAATCACAAACAGGTGACTCAACGAATGAAGATCTTCTAAGCCTGGTTGTGATTCGTCCAGCAACAATTGATCGGCAATATCGAGATGAGTGAGACTCTGGAACACGCTCGATGTGGTTGATTGCAGATGTGCAATTGACCTCCATGGGATATCACCATGACTTTAGTGGTAGTACATCTAGGGCGCGCAGCAGCAATGAAGGATCATCACAGAACGCATCTGTAATAAACTGCGAGGGAAAAGGCATGTGATCCCTTTGCAAAGCCCCAGGAGGTCGATTAATGTAGATTCTGACACATTGCCGAAGACACACAGAGATTTTATTGATCTTGTGCAAAGTCCATGTGCATTGGACGACACAAAATACAGGCAAGGAATCGTTGAACCCTATTGTCACCACGGAAGAACGATGCCTTTTTTAATATAACATTCGTTCCATCCTGTTGTAATAGTCGCTGAGTTCAACCCTTTTTGTGCATTGTCAATTTGGCTGCTCACCAGGGATGTGTCTGGCGCGAGACCGTCAAGTTTGAAGCCGCATATCGTCTCCAGCGACTCGCAAGAGCCATATTATTTCCTGAATTTCCAGTGGAAGTTGAGCGAACCATGGCTGATCGGGAATACCAGAATCATCTAACCACCACTATTATATATCACAACAAGGCAACACATGTCGCCACGACACGTGCATGATGCCATATTTCCATACTGGCATGCATGGTCATGGGCGCGGCCACAGTTCGCTAATTACAATTGCACACGTGTTTTATTTGTGGCCAGGTGGAGGCAAAGCGCCTCGCGAACTAGGTAGGTTCGGTCAAGTTATCAGTTACAACAGCCCTAGTAACTGCCAGCATATCAGACTTTGGCAACAGTCAAAGTGTTATGAAATGTGTTACTTTAGGCGTTCTGCGTATTATAGCATGAAATAATAACCACGGATATGTCTTCATTGACGCCCTCATATTTCTTGCAGCAGAATGTTTCTCATGAGTAGAAAGAGCTAAAATATACTGCTGGATCTCCAGTGGAAGTGCGGAAAACATCACTGCTGATAGATGAGAATGTTGCAGCGGCACCTTGTTCCTGATCAAATAGTGTGACAACGGGCAATTCATGTACACACTACAATTTATATCATTGTTCGACTTATCTAGAAAGAAATACACGTTTCGCCGCACTGTGCATGATGGTGCCTTATCGTTGTTGCAAGTATATCTGACGGCAGCCATTGACATAAGTTGCTATTACACTATCATGGTTTTTCGCTTCATATTTCCCGCTCACGAGGTCACGGATCCGAGTATTACGTAGTGGCTCTATTGAGGTATGTACCTGCAATGCATCGTTCACGTTATCATTAATTACATACATTCACCTCTCACATTATAATTTGTCAGTCACGTTTTCACGCCTGGAGTGTCATTCACAAGTTTCACCGCGAACATTCATAATCATGGGGCAGGTTACAGGTATCTGCTCCAAGGCCATCGAGCTGAGTGGCCCAGCATTTTCAATCACCATCCACTTTTGCATTCAGACAATGCACTACTCGTTCATTTGCGCCCGAATATCGTCCTTATACCATTCAGGCACTATGAACAACACTAAGGAATCTGGTAGTCAATCCGGCGACATCTGAATCACCCACATGATTTAATCACTTTAGGCCTCAACAGAGGTAATCCTGTATTGTATGTCCAAGACCAGTGTTCGTGCTCGTGACATACTCACGGGCAGAGATACATGCTATCAGTATACACGCCCTAATGATGAATCCAGACACAATTGAACATGTTATATTTCAAGCACCAATTTATTTCAATCACATGTGTCCTACACGAATCATCTCACACTGACACAGGCTAACTCTTAAGACAAAATAATGGGGGATGGGACGATGAAGAAATGTGGCCACAATAATCAATAGTGAACACCCATAGAGGCGAGAGACTACCAGTCAACCAAGTAGAATGAAGAAGCTACCAGCATGGCCCAAGGACAGGAAGATGGCCACTATCATCGAAAGTGAACGCCCATAGAGGCGAGAAACCATCCGCCACAGTCCAAGGGTTGCATGCATGGTAGGAGTGGAACAAGGAAGAGGAAGATGGCCACGATCATCGAAAGTGAACGCCCATAGAGGCGAGAAACCACCAGTCAACCAAGTAGAATGAAAGAAGCTACCAGCATGGCCCAAGGACAGGAAGATGGCCACTATCATCGAAAGTGAACGCCCATAGAGGCGAGAAACCATCCGCCACAGCCCAAGGGTTGCATGCATGGTAGGAATGGAACAAGGAAGAAGAAGATGGCCACGATCATCGAAAGTGAACGCCCATAGAGGCGAGAAACCACCAGTCAACCAAGTAGAATGAAAGA